ATCTACAGTGACATGTTACTGTGGTCTGAGGCCACATGTTTTTATTTCACATTGTAAAAGAATTAAAACAAATTCAAAATTGATAGAAAACAGCTGTTCGACTGAGCTGAGGTTAACTTGTGCTATGTCACGTGACTTTCACAGACTCGGAAAAAGCTTGCACTTTTTTCATCGAAGCAGGTGGCTCTCAGAAATCCAGCCTGTCTTGCTCGTGGTGGGGTGTAAGGGATTTATTCACCCGCTGAAAAATATATTTCCCTCAAGGCGGGATACATAGTATTTTATCAAGATCATGTGAACCAATCAGATCTCATCATTCTGACACGTGAATATGACAAAGTAACTCAAAGGTCTTGGTGTATGTTACAGTTTCCTATATTTTCTACCTCTCATAGTAGATCTCTACAAACCAATGTAGGCCAATGGACACCACATGTGGTTGTGTAATGAAGATATACTCATGTCATGAGAATGGTTGCCACATTGAAACACTAACACACAGATGATGCTTCGCAAGTATTTCAGTTGTCATAACAGTGACAACCATTGCCAGCATGACTTTACCCGCACACAATGTCCTCTGGATGTCAAGGCAGTGTTCAAAATTCAGCTTGTAGGTCAAGGGTCCTTGTTTCAACTCAAAGATAAAATGTTATGATTTAGTTTTTCAGGATAAAAATACCACACAAACCTCAAGGACCACAGGGCCTCCTTAGTTTCAAACACTATCAAGGTATTCAATGTCTCATCATGCTACAAGAAATATCCTGCTGTATCCACAACACATCAGATATCTGCATATCAAAGCAGGGTTCATGGTATCAAACATATCGACAGGTACAAATGAAGGTATCCCTCTGTGAGTAGGTGTACCTTTAAATTATCACAAAAACTTACTTACAGTGGAATCTGTCAAAATCGAAATCCGATTTATCCAGATTTGTCAATAACAGGCGCATTTGTGTTCCAGAATATAATATAAAAAGAAAATGATTTCATTTACCCTTATCTGTATATTCTATTCTTTATCTTCTGTTATAAACTTACTTATCCGAACCTCCATCTAAACTGGACTTAACTTTCGGTCCATCAGAAGTCAGATTCCACTGTAAATGTTAATAATCTTTCAAATTCAAATTCTGTTGAGACGTTTGCATTTATGTGCAAGAAATATCACAATGTTTTCTTTAAACAATAAAATATTGATATGATAGACAACAATTTGTTTATACCATATGTTTAAAATGATTTACTCACAATGTAATGTAAAAAATATATTGAAATGATCGACAAATTGATTTGTTAATACAATATGTTTAAAAACACTGACTCACAATAAGGGATGTCGCGATTCACCGATTGTACCAATGCATCGGTAGATAATTCTCACAATACGATACAAGATACACGTTAATTTTTATTGATATGAAATTTTATTGATAACGGTATCTATCTGTTCGCTTATTGATTGATATTTCTTTTCCAATTGAAATGTCATCATATTTTCTGAACTGGACACATACGGAAACTTGTTAGCGTGTGACACTTGTTATAATAAACAGAATCAACCTTTCAGTATTATGATTTTACAAAATAATCTACTGATTGTGATTAGAACGCGTAATTGTGAATGTGATATGGAATTAAAAAGCTTGCTTCTAAATTTACGCATAATGGATGGTATTGCTGTATCGAGTTACCTATCATATCTTGACCTCAAAATCGAGAGTACCGCGAGGTACCTGTATCGTGACACCCTACTTACAATGCAAAAGCAACGAGACTGTTCTTGGCCTTTGGTTGTTGGTAGAGAAAACTGCTGCTCCTAACACTAACTACTGCCTTCGTGAGTGAGTGAGTGAGTATGGTTTTACGCCGCTTTTAGCAATATTCCAGCAATATCACAGCGGGGGACACAAGAAATGAACTCACACATTGTACCCATCCGTGTCTTCGACGCGGCGAGCCCACGCTTTAACCACTAGGCTACCCGACCGCCCCCTTCTGCCTTAGAAATCCTTAGGTAGAGCCCTAGAGGATATCAAGTGTGAGTGAGTGAGTTGGGGGATCAGATGAATTTTTAACCTTGCTCGAATATGTTATTAAATGGAAAGTACCGTATTCGACTTAATTAGCGCCACACTCTAACAAGCGCCCACTGTGATATTTGCTAATATACTGGCTAGTGAACAATCCGAATTAGCACCCCTTCCGATTGATAAATGTACAGAAGACTTATTTATTCGTGTATAATACACACTCATGTGTTATATGCATCCTTAATTATGGGCAAATAAATTCTGGAAAATATATCTGTCATTTATGATATGCACATACTTTTATTTTGTATCATTTCGGGCTGTCAGGATAAACTACGAAATTTTCAATCTTTCAACTTTTTTTTCTCAACAAAATTATATTCTAATAAGAGCCCCCTATTTCCAATTTTGAGAGCGCTTATTACGTTGAATATGGTATGTAAGTTGGGATTTCATGAATATTATAAACAGTTTGTTAATAAATTTGGATTTCAAAACAAATGATCAGTCAGTTACATCAGTAAATAAATTTTGTTCTGCACTGTACACAACATATTTTTTTCACACCTATAAAAATACTCCCAAGGTTAGTGATCAGAAAGCTGTAAACAGAAATTCAACAGTATTGAAAGACTTGTCAGTTGCAATGAAACTTTGATAGTCTGGACATGTAAGGCACTCACCATGAAAACCAATCATTTGAACTCTTTAACATTGAATTGTCAATCAGGATACCTGTTGATCAAGGTAAATTCAATAGAAAAGTCACAGTCTGGATTAACAAGGCTTTACTGTGTATCTGAAGTATAGTAAAAAATGATTTATGTTGAAGAAACTTATCTTTATATTAGGGACTGGTGATTAGTGAGTGAGTGAGTTGGATTTAACACCGCTTTTAACAGTATTCCAGTTATATCACGGCGTGATAGCTTAATGTGGGAGGAAAGCCTGAAGTGATGCAGGTCTTAGACGTTTACCACTTCAGTGAAACCCACGAGCACGGGTATGGTGCTGACAAACCTAGAAACATTATCGGGGCGAACCGGGATTCGAACCCACAATCATAGTTTTCTGGCGTGTCCAAGGGAGGCATCTCTGCACTGCGAATCACGGTGCCTTAGACAACTGGGCAGCCCGTGCCCCTGACTGGTCGTTAAATGTACAAGGGGACTGAGTGAGTGAGGATGGTTTTACGCCACTTTTAGCAATATTTCAGCAATATCACGCCGGGGGTCACCAGAAATGGGCTTCACACATTGTACCCATGCCGGGAATCGAACCCAGGTCTTCGGCGTGACGAGCGAACGCTTTAACCACTAGGCTACCCGACCGCCCCAATTGTACAAGTGGGCAAGACACGGCATAAGAGGGGGATCACCAAAAGTTATCAACTTCATATAATGGGGATATGCTGGAACTGATGACACTTATATTTTTTAAAACATAAATATCATAAATTTGAACATTATTTCATTATTTAGGGACTGGTAGTTTATTATACGAAGGGTAGTGGTGGTGTGTATGTCGTCTGGAAAAAAATCATTCATGTATTGTGGGAGGGAGGTGAAGAAATGTTACATGTATTTGGGAGATGAAATGATTTATACATAAAGAGAAGGGGTGGGTGGGGGATGGGGAAGGAGAGAGAAGTGTCAACAAAATATGAAACAGTCAAAAGACTGAACCCACCAGCCCGCCCACCACTTAAATATAATTATTTCATTATTCAGAGCATTCACATCAGTTTATAAGACCAAGTCAGTACAATTACAAATGAAACTTTGGAGAAAATCAGATATATATATATATATAAATTGTGTCTAGTTTGTGAAATGTTTGTGCATAATTGAAAAATTGACATCATACAGGAAGCTTGTCTAAGATCAATAAATCTGAAAAGTACTGACAGTTAGTGGTGTAACGATACGGCGATACAGTATTGTATCCCGATGCACAGCCCACGATACGATGCATCCATTTGGAAAGCATGTATCGCGATACATACGATATTTTCATAACACAGTTTTACTTATGAGTTTTGATGTTTTTCCCCCATGGAAAGACATGACGGTGCACGTAACACCGGAAATACCATGTCAACAAATCCATACTGAAGTTCGCAAATTATTCACGTAATTACACTGTCTAAAAAGTGTTCTTTGTATATCTGGACTTATGTTTGTAACTTATTTCATTAATTTTATTCAAAATTCCATTTAATATTGTTTTAATTAATTTCGGCGAAATCGTGTGTGAAGCGATCGGAAGATCGCACAACTCACCGTTATTAACAGCAGCCACGGTCAGATTACCGCTATTGACGCCTTGAAACAAACTTTAGTTGACAGAGAATGGATACATATATCATAAAAGCCATACTTTGATTCGTTTAAAGTCATATTTGTTTTTGTTGGACGATTCTATGTCAACACGTAATTCTCGCGATCGCGCGATCACGTGCACGGGAGCCTTGACGGTGACTGGTCAGACTGGTTCCATGTAAAAAATAATACCCGGCAATAGCGATCAGCTGCTTCCCTTAGGGTTATTATTATTTTAAATATGTTTAGTAAAAGCTGCATCTAAATTAAGAAGATATTGGAATATATTATTCCTGATAAAAAAATAGTTTCAGAAACAACTTTTGCCGATCCTTGCATTAAAATCCTGTAAAGTTATATCATTGGGTGTGTCTTGACCGAATCACCGGTAGATTCCAAGAAAACGTGTGTACAGCTGATTGCTGTGTCCGGCTTAGTTTACGAGAAAATACACAAGGTAATCTTAATCCCTGGATATAAAACAATGCCTAGCTGAACAAAAAATACAATTTAAACGGTAAATCGACATGTCTGGTGATTTTTTATCTCAAATTTCGAATTTGTACTGACGAAGTTTCTCATCACCCGTTCGTTTGCCGGACTTCGCTGAAAGGGTACGGTGTCATTTTTTTCTGCGCATAATATTCAAATTTCTTTTTTTCCCAAAATATTGAACCCGCTAGAGGGGTGCGCATTATACATGGGTGCGCACTATACTCAAGAAAATACGGTACTTTTAATACGTTTAACAATTTCAAAGCCAGTTTGTTGTTTCAGTAAAACATACTGTATTGCTGACAATTTGCTATAACAGTAAATAAACATTCACCTTATATCTTCTTCAACTGTACTTGTCACATCTTTTAGAGAGCAGAAAGACATCAACTTGACTTAGCTTGTACCAATAAACACTGTTACACCTTTACTGACAGTAAAGAAAATAACCACCGTCAATACTTAACAGGTGTGTACGTACACATTTTGTTCCTCCATCACCTGTGAATACATACAACCAATGTCCGAGTGACACAACTCACTGTACCAGTGGTACACGTGACATGTCTCTGTCCTTGTCCAGTTCCACCAGGCCATAAGCAGGCCCATCCAGCAGGGCCTGAGCTTCTTCTTTGTCATCATTGTGTTCAACATCAGAACCAGTGCCAATATCTTGAGCTGGGATAGGCACTTTGCGTCCTGTTTCTTCAGGGTCTGGCACTCCTTCCCTTGGCAGGTTCAAGCTTGTTGCCTCTGAGGTCAAAGGATCCCACCCCAAAAAGTGATCTGAAACATAAAGTTATCAATATGCAGTAATAAATAAATGACAAATGACCTTCACAGTGACCTTGACATTTTATGTTAGTCTCTCACGGTCTTTTAAATATTTTTTTGCTCCACCCTAAGGATGACATGTAACAAGTTTCATTGGCCTACAGTACATCATTCTGGGTGGTAAACAATTCAGGCTATGACCTTGTGAATGACCTTCAGATACGTACCAAGGTGTCACTTTCATAGGGCTACAAAGGAGATATACTTCATTTGATATCCAAGCACAGCATGGTTTAAAAACGGAGTGTGGCAATCGGGCTGCTTAATTAGCTGTAAACCCCAACTCACTCACTTACCCACTAACCCGCTCACTCACTCATTCATCCACCCACTCAAAGCTCATCCTCCTGAGGCAAAGGCGTTAACTGTCTATACAAGTCCAGTTTCCACCTTTGCCGAACTTGGTTGGAATTTTCGAAAATAGAGTTTTGATGGTCTAATGAGTCTAAGCATAGTCGTGTTTCATAAACAACATGGCAACTGCCGTGCAGATTTCAGTTGATTGCAGGATTTGCAAAGAATGTGTACTGTGAACTGGCCATCAACAGATATTTTCCAAATCTTTACATGTTACAAATTTAGGTGCTGACGTGATTTGATGTGTTTCGTAGGGTAAGACGCATTTCATTACAATACAGATCTTGATTATCGATCAGATCATCTTGACTGGGTGCTGCCATTTTGTTTGAAACAAATGCAAGTGATAGGAGAGGTAGAATCTGATTGGTCAATAGGAGGGACATAGAAGGGACGTCACTTGTAATAGGCACTGGTGGCGCTACAATTGAGCCCCGAAATTCCAGCCTGTCTAAGAGTGGGAACTGGCCTTTTATAGTCAGTTAACGCCCTTGTCTAAAGAAAAAGATGCCCACCTGCACACTCACTCACACACTCACACAGTCACCAACCCACTCACAATTAACCCACTCACTCACCAGTATTGTCACCTCCACTGTCCAGTGAATCAGGCTGTCCCCCAAGGGGTCTGATGGACGGATCATCAGTTCCAGTCGGGGTGCGTCTCCCTGAGATGGAACTCCCAGTTGAACCATTTGGTCCGTTTTCAGCATCTTCATGAGCACTGGGACTGGCACTGGGGATGCCATTTGGTGTGGCATCGGGGATTCCATTTGGCCTGGCACCAGGGATGCCATTTGGTCTGGCATCTGGGATTCCATTTGGACTGGCACCAGGGATTCCATTTGGACTGGCACCAGGGATGCCATTTGGACTGGCACCAGGGATGCCATTTGGACTGGCACCGGGGATTCCATTTGGACTGGCACTTGGGATTTCATTTGGACTGGCACTGGGGATTCCATTTGGCCTGGCACCGGGGATGCCATTTGGACTGACCCTAGGGATGCCATTTGGCCTGGCACCAGCAATTCCATTTGGCTGATGACCACTAACTCCATGAGATGAATCCCCTGGCAAGTTGAATAGAATTACATTAAAATTACCCGCTGAAATTGTCTGGATTAACAAAATCTGAATAAATGGATCAATGTTATTGAGTAATGTCACTGAAATATATGTCTGCAGATTTCAAAGGAAGGTGGGTTTCCTGATTAATGATTTCGAGGGGCGAACAAAAAGGTTTGACTGTAATCCAATTAGCACAAACAAAAATGGTACATGTATATCAGTTCATCGCCTGTTGTTATGGATTAAAAATCGCCATGGCAATAATCTCTCTTCCCCCATCAGCCAATAAAAAAAGATTGCTTACTCTGACATAAATGTTTAGCCACTGAAGACAGTGCCAAAAGACTCCACACTGTAGATATCGCTGTAATGAAATTGCATCACAATGCTATGTAGACCATTGTGACATCACTGGTTACCATGATGTCACAATCAAATGACATCACTAATGGCTCTGCTATTGAAGCTGTTAGCAGTACTTTTTACACTGAGGACACTGCTAATTACTGTCTACAAACTGAAAAAGCATGGAATTTTTTCACTTTTATAAACTCATGTTGATATATTTGATATCAAAAGACACTTGGGTGAGATTCTCGATATGATGTGTCCTACCTTTTTAGGTCAGAATTCTTGTATTTACGGAGCAAGAGTGAGTTTCACAAAACCAGTATGCCACACATGCGAGTGTAATAATTTCTATATTACCCATTACTTTTAAATCCTTTTGAGCTCCCTTTAGAAAAATACACTGATCATGACCACCGTCTTAGAAAACCACAATTGTCAAATGACGTCAACAATCTTCAGCTATGACCTCATTTCAAGTGTGACATCATTCAGACATTACTTAACAATAAGATTCAAATGACGTCAACAATGCTGTCCGATATGACATAAACAAGACACTGTACACATGAAGTGTTATTTGTACAAGTGCACATACAATTTTTATGAACTCAGTTATTTCTAACCCTATGGGTAATTAATGTTGTTTCTGGCTCGTGAAGATCCGGGGTGGAATAGGTCTTCAGCAACCCATGCTTGCCGTAAAAAGCATCTATGCTTGTCGTAAGAGGTGACTAACGGGATTGGGTGGTCAGGCTCGCTGACATGGTTGACGCATGTCATCGATCCCAATTGGGTGGATCGATGCTCATGATATCAATCACTAGATTGTCTGGTCCAGTCTCAATATTTACAGACCGCTGTCATATAGCTGGAATATTGCTGAGTGTTGCGTTAAACAACAAAAAAACAAACAACAAACAAACAAATCTTACCTTCTAGGAGACATGTGTAGGGAGGAGGATGATCAGGGGATTCTGCATTAAAAAAACAAAGAATATTAAAATATCGGTTTCCAGGGCGGGTAATTGGAGATCCCAGAACCACGGGAATGGTTCCAGGGGCGAGTGTAGGTTTACAGAAATGCAAGCCCTGGAAATATAGAGGATGATACAAATACATACCTAGGTCCTGTGTCCTGATCTGTGAGTTCTGAACTGCAGTACTGTGACAGCAAGCAATGTTACATGGATGTGCTTGACCTGCAACAACACATGAACATGATGTAGCTTTTCCATTGCAATAAAATGACCCAGTCAGAGAACAACAGAGAATGTGAACCATTTAGAACCAGGGCCCCGTTCCACAAAGCGATATTAGCGCTAAGATGATCGTAACTCCCATACTTTAAACATAGGCTTACGAAGATCGTAGCGCTAAGATCGGCTTGTGGAATGGGGCCCAGGGCCCTGTTCCACAAAGCAATCTTAGGGCTAAGTTGATTGTAACTCACTAAGTATGCGATCTTAAAGCCGCCCATTCCACAAAGCAATCTTACTAAGAGAGTTAAGATCAAAATGCTAAGTTGCTCCGGACCAACTTAGGATTGCTAAAATCAATCTTAAATATTGTACCATAACAACAAAGATGGCGACTTTTATTATGGTGTGCAAGGAAATACGTTGTCTGCTAAACATGACCAAGGGAGGCCACTCCAAGGGAAAATTTCGTATCTTTATGGCTGAAGATTCCAATCTTTGTTAAGATCGGCTACTTAAGAACTTGTAAAGTTACAATCGCCCTAAGATCGCTTTGTGGAACGGTTGTAAACTTTAGCTAAGACAATTTTAGAATCGACGTAAGTCGCTAAGATTGATTGTAGTTACGATCACTTTGTGGAACGGGGCCCAGGACAATAGAATATGCTACATTTTATCTTATTTTCAACAATATCCCACCATGAGACCCCTTAAAATAAATTTGGGCTTCAGCACTCTCTACTCTTCCCAAGGCTAGGGAGTTCACTGACTTTAAAAGTCCAGCTTCCACCTTTGCTGAACAGTGAGGAAATTTCCCGAGTTCTGTCCCTCCTATTGACCAATCAGATTCCACCTATCATATCACTTGCGACCCGTAAAGATCAAGGCTAGAATAGGTATTCAACAACCCATGCTTGCCATAAAAGGCGACTGACGGGATCAGGTGGTCAGGCTCGCTGACTTGGTTGATGCATGTCATCGTATCCGAATTGCGTAGATCGATGCTCAAGATGTCAATCACTGGATTGTCTAGTCCAGACCTGATTATTTACCGACCACTGTCATATACTGGAATATTGCTGAGAGCGGCGTTAAACAACTAACAAAGCATTTGCTTCAAACAAAATGGTGGCTGCCAGTGAAGACAATCTGATCAATTATCAAGATCACTATTGTAATTAAACGTACTTCGTGAAGTGCATCAAATCACATGAGCACCTTGATCAAAAACATGAAAAGATGTGGGAAAAAAAGTGTTGATGCTAAATTGATGGCATACATGCTTTGTAAATCCTGCAATCAACTGAAATCTGCACAGCGGTTTATGAACAGGATGACGATTTTGAGTCACGAGACTCGTTTGTCCAGCCAAATACATCTCCATAATTCTACCCTAGTTCGGCAAGGGTGGAAAATGGACTTTCATAGTCAGTTAACTCCCCTTACTTGGGAAGATGGGTTTTAAGGGCATGCTTGGGAGTCCTGTGCAGAAGATGTTCCCAGTACCATAAGTGTGCTGGGTACTTTGAAAGTTGACAAAGGGGTGTTTATTAAAACTATTGCCAAGTTAAATCTATAGTCAGGGATCGAGCAGTATTTGATAAAAGTTACTGGGCAATTATATACCCTATCTTGGTCTTGTTAGGGGACAATTATAAAGATTACTTTCAGAGTGGTCTAGAAGTTGTTTGGGGGAAATATAAAATTAAACCTGGTCAATGGATCTGGGGTCACTCATTTTCATTCTCATCTCCCTTGGGGGTATATTCTACTGGTACAGTGGTCACCGAGGACCCCCACAGTCCCCAAGACTCCAATTTTATAGACAAAGGTAATTCCCTGATCAATTTAAATTTAAATTTAAATTTAATTTAAAATATTAAATTAGTCACAGATGTTATTTGGATTTAAACTTGGATAATTCATGAAAAAGTTTTCAGTAAATTTAAGAAATATTAAAAATCTGAATATTTTTTACATTTGTATACTTTTCCTGGATTACTCTTTCATGCATTTACTGCTTACTTTTGACAGAAACAAAGCTGTGTGAGGTCCAGCTGATGAGAAAAAGTTGTTCCAAACTGATGTGAAGCAGGACCCAAGCACAGAACCCACCTGACCCCATGACACCATGCAAATGTCACATGGAGGAGTAATGCAGGATAAGTTAAAAAATAATGTGTTTCAGCAATAAGCGAAGATGACAACATGGACAAAGCTTACCTCTGCAACAACAACACCACCATGCCAACAGAGCCATGACTAAAAGGAATACCGAGATGATGACTAAAATCCAAATCTTGTTATCATGCCAGAATCTATATAGACGAAAAAAGAGCGGAATAAATTTCTAATACTGGATTTAATATAAATTCATAAAATAGTGTAAGAAGTAGGTAATATTTTGGGTTTTTTTTAACCTATGCACATTGTAGTTTGGTGAATGATATATGTAGCTGCCATAAAATTTCTGAGTCCCGTGATGGGATTCAAACCACGGACCTTCTGATCAGAGGTCGGACGCCTTGTCCACATGACCAAAGAGGTTAACCCCGTCAGCAAGCTGACAAGGTAAGGATGTCATCTGTGGGCTGACTCCACGCCCTGCAACATACTCCCCCGTCAACAGAAGGCACGTCCCGGGCCGCATTGTAGGGTACTGAGGCTTATTTTGCTCAAATGTAATATGAACGTGCTCAGCCCCACATTGGGCGCCAATGTAGCGGCCATAAAATTTCCGCGTCCCGTGATGGGATTGGAACCACGGACCTTCTGATCAGAGGTCGGATGCCTTGTCCACATGACCAAAGAGGTTAACCCCATCAGCAGGCTGACATGGTAAGGATGTCATCTGTGGGATGACTCCATGCCCTGCTATATATACATGATAAAACACACTTGCTTGTCAAACATCACAGAGGCACGTGCCGAAATAGGATTTTTGCTTGCGATTTCATAATATAAGTTGTAGCAGGATCATGAAGGATACATGGGGTTGTATGCGTCCTGCATTAGGTTTTATACCACTCAGACATCCACATGCAGTCTGCCTTGCTCATGGCGGGGTATAAGAGATTTATTGACCTGATGAGAAATTTATTCCCATCCAAGGACGGTTGCACTGTCTTTATCAAGATCAAGTGGACTAATCAGATCTCTTCATACGGACATGGAGGTAAGATAATGTGTTATATCCAACACACTAGTACGTAGATATAAACATTACAGAAGCCAGTTTTACTCTGCGCAGTACTTGAGTTATGGGGTTTGCTGTGCAGAATTCTGTCTCTGTTTGAGAACTGAAACAGCATGTGACGTCACACTCGGAAATGATTTTAAGCATGATTAAAAAACACACAGAACCATCGACGTACTGTCCACCAAAACAATAGAACTCCGCACAGTGAAGCCGGGAACCCAAGCACTGCGCAGAGTAAACTGGCTTCAATCTTGTTGTTGATGGAGGCAAATTGATGAGAAAGCTTGTGTGTTTTACTTTTGGCTGAATTATAAAACTACAATCTCATTAAAATGAGATCTTATTTTTCGCTACTGCTAAACAAAGATCTGAGGACATCCCATTACAGGTTACGTCAGAACAACCTTTCGCAAACTTTGACCGACCAATGACATGACTGACAAGAAATTGACATAAGCAATCAGAAGGCAGCTTTCTCGAGCTTTACGACACAAGTTTCAAACTGGCGACTACTCTTCGAAACATATTTTGACGTATTCTCAATTAAAAAAATTAAAACTGATAAGAAGAACATTCTGGAATGGCTTATAGATGGCCTAGATTGTATGGATGTAATCATAAAACCTGTAACGGTTGTTCCAAATACCCCGTGTTATATATTTCCTGGTTGCATAAGAAAACCCATTCCGACACTCACTTTTATGATCTGGTAAGCAACGCTCTGATTGGTTGGCTGAAAGGTCGTTCTGACGTGACCCTTAATGGCATGTCCTCAGATCTTTGTTTAGCGACAGTGAGAACTAAGATCTGATTTTAATGAGATTGTATAAAACTATCAATGGCCAGCTTGCTTAGATTACAAGCAGGTGTTTATCAAAGTCATGAAATGTTCCACTTTCATTGAGAGAATATCCTAAAACTTGAAAAACTATTTCAATTTTCGTGTCTATCCTCCATTTATAAACCTCCGGTGACATCATCCTATTGTTCTTCAGTCGGGTTAAATCTCATAAACAGGGGCGTTGTAATGTCCCTGGTCTTATATTATATCCCCGGGATTTTATAGGATATTCAAGTCATATCTGCTATATAATGTGTTATAATATCCCAGGGATTTTATATAATGTCCTGGGTATTTTATTAATATAACTTCCTTTCAGATTGTAACATGTAATGAAATGTAAAATCAAATGACAAATATTTTCTTTAAATTCCCGAGGATCGAACACGCAACCTTCATATCTGTAGCCCAGTGAGTGTACCACGAGGCTACAGAGGTGTTGATAAGCCTCACTGCTTTTTAGGATGTCCTTTTCAAGATCCGTACGCCAGCAACAGATATTTTACGCCCGTTTCCTAAGGTTCATGGTAAGTATGTTCAAAACATAAAAATGTTGATAAATGTTGTTTAAAGTTTCTTTTTTCGGTTTATAAGTAAGATAAAACACTTCCCCTCAGGTTGTTATGATATTTAAAACCCTTTCCCTCGGAAAATCCCTCGGGATGCAGGTTTTAAATATCATAACAACCCTCGGACGTGTTTTATCCTATACATCCTGTCATTCAAAGTCCAACTGAGTGCAAGCAAAACCGTCACTTTGATGTGTAGAGCTATATTGTCATGCACCTCATTGTCCCATTTTTAGTAGCATATCTATATTAATTATGCAAAACAATATGTAAGGCACACCTCAAAGCATGCATAAAGCCTGTATCTGTTCTTATTTCAGAATAAGTGTGTTTGTTTACAAACAAGATAACGAGTCGAGTCACGTGACAAGCCGACACCTGCAGTGTGGTCACTGGAGCAGAAATGCAATGAGGCGAGCAAAGCCAAGTGAGTTCAGGGGTTATTGACTACTGTCCTGTCCCCCTAAAGTTGATCGTGAACTCACCCTTGATGAGGAGAGCCAGAACTGTATTCAGGTGTAGAGTCAGTGACGGGTGAGATGAAAAAAAAAGATACAGAAAGTTAAATGTAACAAATGTTATATTTGGGATTACACTTTCTCAGTGAAGTACAAATTCTTGTATCCACACTCTCAGAGTGAGGCATCAAAATGCAGGCCATTGGTTCAATTCCTGTCCATGTAATACGAAAAGATGTTACAAGATAGCATTGGACAGGTCAGCTTGTAACTGGTATACTGTGTCTGTGTGGGTTATCCATGTTAAACTGCAAGATGCTTACAACAATGCGTCTCTCTGTCCCCCTCTCTCTCTCTCTCTCTCACTGGGCAACCCACTCACTCATTCTCTCTCCTCTTTCTCTCTCTCTCTCTCTCTCTCCATTTAGTAAGTCATAAATAAATGTAAACAGCAATTCATCAGGATTAGCATTTTATAAATAACGGCAATTAAGTGTTTCAAGGCAGATAGATGGCATGGCTCCAGGGTAATTAGCCTTTAGAATTAAATGTTCATTCAGACAATGGTTGTTGTAAATCGGTCGCTATGACAGCAACATCAAAACCTAAGACATTTTTACAAGAATGCCTTCAGTTGATTTGTGGATTTGGTAGAAACTCACCTTGTTGATGGGGTTGATGGGGTTGTGGGTTCAAATGAAACACAAGGACCGTAGTCGGTGCTGGGATTGTGGAACCCGGGGCTGCATGCAACACACGTCCCTGCATGAAGGAAAATAAACTTAAGAAAAATTGGAGTGAAGTGGATGGAACAGGGGACTGTTGGAGAGTAACATGATGCACGTGGAGTTCATGCTGTGTAGACCCGTGAGGATCCGGGGTAGAAGGTCTTCAGCAACCCATGCTTGCCGTAAAAGCGCCAATGCTTGTAGTAAGAGGCGACTAACGGGATCATGTGGTCAGGCTCGCTGACATGCTTGATGCTTGTCATCGTATCCCAATTGTGTGGGTTGATGCTCATGATGTCAATCACTGGATTGTCTGGTCCAGACTGGATTATTTACAGACTGCTGTCATATAGCTGGAATAATGTGAGTGCGGCATTACAAAACACACAAGCAAAACATGATGGTATTTGTCTATAAAAGTGAAAGGTCAAAGTCAAGAGGAAAAAGCTGCAATGTTTTTTGGATGAGGTGAAAATGCTTTTCTCGTCTCTGAAACCTTTAATGTTAATTTTATATTTTTGTTTGTGCAGTGATCAACAAAGCCTTTCACTTATTATTAACATTAATGTCTACACAACGGATGTATATATTTGTCACCTACGTAAGGTTTTTCCCTTTATTTCCGGGTGTCATTTATCATTCAGAATCGTCCATGAACGATCACATTTCTTCTTTGTATCGATTTACTATTTTCTATCCCAGAATGCAATATTTTTTTCTACATAGCATGCTCAGTACTATGGATGTGATGTCATTTTGTTTATCAATATTTACAACAAGAGCCTAAATGTGGTTCAGCATGTTTCCATTGTTCTCTCAGCTGTCATTACGACCCTCCATCCATCCCCATCTCCACCAAGGGGCTGGTCGGAAGGGGCTTTGCAAGTCAATCATTCTGTAAACTATCATTATATGGCTTGCGGCCTCCAAAGTATTTTCATTTTCACTCATACCTGCCATCTTCCCGAGGCAAGAGAGTTAACTGACTTTAAAAGTCCAGTTTGAACCCTAGGCTGGAATTACTGGGCTTGATCGTAGCACCACCAGTGGCTATTACGAGTTATGTCCCTTCTAAGCCTCTCCTATGGACCAATCAGATTCCACCTCTCGTATCACTTGCATTTGCTTCACACAAACCGCACACAAAATGGCGTCGCCCGGTCAGTTAGATCTGATCGACAATGAAGATCTATATTCTGATAAAACTTACATCGCGAAATGCATCAAATCACGTGAGCACCTTGATTAAAAACATGAAAAGATTTGGAAAATATCTGCTGACAACGAGTTGGCGGTGAACATGCTTTGCAAATCCTGCAATCGACCAAAATCTGTACAACAGTGTACGAACGGATTTCGATTTCGGTGCGCGATTTTGATTGGACTATGCATAGACTCGTCCAGCCAAAATGTAACTCCATAATACTACCTTAGTTCGGCAAGGGTGGAAACAGGACGTTTATAGACAGTTAACTCTCTTGCCTCGGGAAGATGATACCTGCAGGGTATCATCCTTTCTACATATTTTCATTTTCACTCATACCCACAGGGTATCACCCTTTCTACATATTTTCATTTTCACTCATACCCACAGGGTATCACCCTTTCTACATATTTTCATTTTCACTCATACCTGCAGGGTGTCACCCTTTCTACATATTTTCATTTTCACTCATACACGCAGGGTGTCACCCTTTCTACATATTTTCATTTTCACTCATACACGCAGGGTGTCACCCTTTCTACATATTTTCATTTTCACTCATACACGCAGGGTGTCACCCTTTCTTCATATTTTCATTTTCACTCATACACACAGGGTATCACCCTTTCTACATATTTTCATTTTCACTCATACACGCAGGGTGTCACCCTTTCTACATATTTTCATTTTCACTCATACCTGCAGGGTGTCACCCTTTCTACATATTTTCATTTTCACTCATACACGCAGGGTGTCACCCTTTCTACATATTTTCATTTTCACTCATACACGCAGGGTGTCACCCTTTCTACATATTTTCATTTTCACTCATACACGCAGGGTGTCACCCTTTCTACATATTTTCATTTTCACTCATACACGCAGGGTGTCACCCTTCCACATATTTTCATTTTCACTCATACACGCAGGGTGTCACCCTTTCCACATATTTTCATTTTCACTCATACACGCAGGGTGTCACCCTTTCCACATATTTTCATTTTCACTCATACACGCAGGGTGTCACCCTTTCCACATATTTTCATTTTCACTCATACACGCAGGGTGTCACCCTTCCTCATATTTTCATTTTCACTCATACACGCAGGGTGTCACCCTTTCTACATATTTTCATTTTCACTCATACACGCAGGGTGTCACCCTTTCTACATATTTTCATTTTCACTCATACACACAGGGTGTCACCCTTTCTACATATTTTCATTTTCACTCATACCCGCAGGGTGTCACCCTTTCTACATATTTTCATTTTCACTCATACACGCAGGGTGTCACCCTTTCTACATATTTTCATTTTCACTCATACACGCAGGGTGTCACCCTTTCTATATATTTTCATTTTCACTCATACACGCAGGGTGTCACCCTTTCTACATATTTTCATTTTCACTCATACACGCAGGGTGTCACCCTTTCTATATATTTTCATTTTCACTCATACACGCAGGGTGTCACCCTTTCTACATATTTTCATTTTCACTCATACACGCAGGGTGTCACCCTTTCTATATATTTTCATTTTCACTCATACACGCAGGTAGTCACCCTTTCTATATATTTTCATTTTCACTCATACACGCAGGGTGTCACCCTTTCTACATATTTTCATTTTCACTCATACACGCAGGGTGTCACCCTTTCTACTGACCAGCGGGGTCTCTAAATTACATTGCCCGCAGGGCAACCTTTCTTTTCTGGAATAACCTTTTTAGATCTACCCGCAGGGTTCTAAATCATTTTCAGATATATTTCAAATTTACTTATGCAACCCGCAGGGCTGCCTTTTTAAACTACTTACCAGCAGGGTAAGTTACCTTTCCAACACCGAGTCAGCCCCCAAATTTTATGCCATGTCTTGTATATAATAATCATAAACATTTGATCTTACTCAATTGTTTTTGTTGTCACTGCACAAACTCAGTAACCCTTACTCAGCCTAAATACAGTTTTACTTGCCATTTTTCAGTTCCTTGTCTATGCCACAAGTATTTGGATGTTTATTACATTCCAAGCCTGATTTGCCAGTGTAGCCATTCGCTTCATTGCAGACACAGGAAAGCTGACACGTCTTGTTGTTAAAATAAGTGACCTTCACCTTGGTCTCTGAAACACAAGTAAATACTGCAGGAATGAGCCATGATTTCAATAAGTCAAAGACAATTATTTCTATGAATTGTCTTTCATATCTGGAGTTGTGCTTGCTGTTATAAGAGGAAAATCTTTATTGGTATAAATCAGTTAAATGTTGATGGTCTGCCTTGAGAAAAGTAAATTCAGTCAATATTGCAACAGAGTGGCAGGTGAGAGAATATCTTGAAGGGGCACACTGTTTAAGGAAATTGCTACTCCTTGCAAGTTTAATTCAAGTTGACAGATGAAATGTTGAAAATGTTAATAATAATAATAATAATAATAATAATATAAAAAAAATATTGCACTATATTTCCACACCCCATAGAGGCATGCTCAAAGCGCTACACTATTATTACCCCGGTCAATGGATCAGTGTGCACTAAACAATCATTCTCAGCTCCCCGGGAAGTATACAACCCAAGCAGCCTGTGGGGCACTAGAAGGTTAGCAACCACATTGCCATCTCATCCTACCGGGTACCCATTCACTGCTTGGTGAGCAGAGCCACATTTGGAACAAAGCCAGCCACCTGCTCAAGGCGACACAACCTGTTACATGTGCTTCAGTGTGGGGCAGGACCGAAGCCATCTCCTCACCCAGCAGACTGTTTTAGGAGAATGGAAAACCATACCTTTCCCATTTTCTGGACAAAGTGGGAGGTGGCACTTGACGAGGTATTCCGTGGTCGTGAAGTCACACTGGTACAGGTTCTCCTTGCACTGGCTGCATTTCATGGGGCCATACTTGTGGTCACATTCCTCTGTTATCTCATGTCCTGAGGACAAAACTCGTTATTTTATCAAAATGGTTCTTGTTTCTGAAGAAGACTGTCTTTCTGAAGAAAGGGTGTGAATGTCATGACAGTAGAGGTCATTGGGTTGCTCAGAACGTAGAGGTCATTGGGTTGATCAGATAGTAGAGGTCATTGGGTTGATCAGATAGTAGAGATCATTGGGTTGATCAGATAGTAGTAGAGGTCATTGGGTTGATCAGATAGTAGAGGTCATTGGGTTGATCAGATAGTAGTAGAGGCCATTGGGTTGATCAGATAGTAGAGGTCATTGGGTTGATCAGATAGTAGAGATCATTGGGTTGATCAGATAGTAGTAGAGGTCATTGGGTTGCTCAGATAGTAGAGGCCATTGGGTTGATCAGATAGTAGAGGTCATTGAGTTGATCAGATAGTAGAGGTCATTGGGTTGATCAGATAGTAGAGGTCATTGGGTTGCTCAGATAGTAGAGGCCATTGGGTTGATCAGATAGTAGAGGTCATTGAGTTGATCAGATAGTAGAGGTCATTGGGTTGCTCAGATAGTAGAGGTCATTGGGTTGATCAGAAAGTAGAGGTCATTGGGTTGATCAGATAGTAGAGGTCATTGGGTTGATCAGATAGTAGTAGAGGTCATTGGGTTGCTCAGATAGTAGAGGCCATTGGGTTGATCAGATAGTAGAGGTCATTGAGTTGATCAGATAGTAGAGGTCATTGGGTTGCTCAGATAGTAGAGGTCATTGGGTTGATCAGATAGTAGAGGTCATTGGGTTGATCAGATAGTAGAGGTCATTGGATTGCTCTGATTGTAGAGATCATTGGGTTGATCAGATAGTAGTAGAGGTCATTGGGTTGATCAGATAGTAGAGGTCATTGGGTTGTTTACAGAGCACATATTTAAGGTCAATGTGTTTACAGAGCAAATAGTTGAGGTCAATGTGTTTACAGAGCAAATAGTTGAGGTCAATGTGTTGATCAAATACTTGAGGTCAATGTGTTGTTTACAGAGCAAATAGTTGAGGTCAATGTGTTGTTTACAGAGCAGATAGTAGAGATCAATGTGTTGATCAAATAGTTGAGGTCAATGTGTTTACAGAGCAAATAGTAGAGGTTAATGTGTTGTTTACTGAGCAATTAGAAGAGGTCAATGTGTAAACAAGAGTTTGCCACTAACGTGGCTATATCCCCCGCCCCTGTTGCAGAATTTATGACATAATTGAATCTAAACAAACCCTAACCTTTTTCAACCGAGGTGGAACTTGTCATGGAAATGGTAAAAAAAAAGATGAGTTTGGAACCATGTCCATCTTGTTGCCATGGAAACTTAAAAAATAAATATTTCTAAAATTTCTCAATAGCAAAAGGCACCAGTTCAGCATGTACCTGACAGACCTGCAAAGTTTGATGAAAAAATATTGAATGGTTTATGAGTTATGCTCCAGAAACGAACCCTACCCTCACAGAACCTAAGTCCATCTTGTTGCCATGGAAACGTATAAAATAAATATTTCTAAAATTTCTCAATAGCAAAAGGCACCAGTTCAGCATGTACCTGGCAGACCTGCAAAGTTTGATGCAAAAATATTGAACGGTTTATGAGTTGTGCTCCGTAAACGAACCCTACCCTCACGGACCTAAGTCCATCTTGTTGCCATGGAAACGTAAAAAATAAAAATTTCTAAAATTTCTCAATAGCAAAAGGCACCAGTTCAGCATGTACCTGACAGACCTGTAAAGTTTCATGAAAATATATTGAACGGTTTATGAGTTATGTTCCGGGAAACAAAGCGTGACGGACGGACGGACGGACGGACGGACGGATGGAGCCCGTTTCTATATCCCCCGCCAACTTTGTTGGGCGGGGGATAAAAAAGGGCGGTGGGGTAGCCTAGTGGTTACAAAGTTGGCTCGTCACACTGATGACCCGGGTTCGATTCCCCACATGGGTACAATGTGTGAAGCCCATTTTCCCGTGTCCCCCGCCTTGATATTGCTGGAATATTGCTAAAAGCGGCGTATAATCACTCACTTACAGAGCAAATAGTTGAGGTCAATGTGCTTATAGAGCAAAAAGTTCAGGTCAATGTGCTTACAGAGCAAATAGTTGAGGGAATGTAACAATCAATTGACGCATTTTGTCCAATCCTGGGGGAGTGCCAGTGCAGCAATACTAAGTGCATCTTCCTGAGGCAAGGGAGTTAACTGACTTTACAAGTCCAGTTTCCACCCTTGCTGAACTACGCTGGAATTTCTGAGCTCGATCGTCGTGCCACCACTGGCTACTATGAGTTATGTCCCTTCTTGGTCCGCCCTACTGACCAATCAGATTCCACCTCTCATATCGCTTGCATTTGCTTCAACAAAATGGTGGCGCCCAGTCAAGACGATCTGATCGATAATAAATATCTTTATTGTAATAAAATGGGGTTTGTCGTGCGAAGTGCATCATATAACTTGAGCACCTTGATTAAAAACATGAAAAGATGAGGAAAATATCCGTGGATGCCCAGTTGACAGTACACATGCTCTGAAAATCCTGCAATTGAAAGAATTCGGCATGGCAGTTGCCATGTTGTTTATGAACCGGATGTCTATATCATTAAAGTATTTTGATTGGACTTTGCATAGACTCGTTAGTCCAGCAAAAATATAACTCTATAATTCCAAGTAAGGTCAGCAAGTGTGGAAACTGAACTTTTTTTTGTCAGCTAACTCCCTTGCCTCGGGAAGATGTACTTAGTGTCCTGGCAAAAAGAGAAACAGGGACAGGACATCGACAGCTCTGAAGCTTTGTTTGTAAACATAAGCCGATATCCCTAGAGCATTCTCAGCTCTGCTTGGCTTATTCCGTGAGAGGCATATCTGCTCCATTGACCACACCGAGGGTGTAGGCGTATCACGTAACCAGACTTTTTCTTGTTTGTAAACAAAAGTTTGTAAACTTTTTCTGAAATAAGAACAGACAGATCCAATGCAAGCCTTTCGATGTGCTTTACATACTGTTTGGCATAATTATGTAGATCTGCTACAACTGAGGGGCGGTTGGGTAGCCTAGTGGTTAAAGCGTTCGCTCGTCACGCCAAAGACCCGGGTTTGATTCCCGATATGGGTACAATGTGTGAAGCCCATTTCTGGTGTCACCCGCCGTGATATTGCTGGAATATTGCTTAAAGCGGCGTTAAATCATACTCACTCACTAACTAAAATTAGATATAAGGGGCGCTTATTCATAGAATTTCAATTTGGTGAGAGAGAAAAAACAGATTTGAAAGATCGCAAATTTTGTGGTTTGGCGAACACAGAAAACGATCACTCTCAGTATTTTACCTCTTTTAGATATGATATGTGAGAACTTAATGTTTAAACATTTTACCTGGGGGACATGGATTTTTTTTTGTGTAGACAGCACATTCAGTTTTGGTGCCATTGGGTAGGATGACGGTCTTGAATTGGGAGGGTTCCTGTAAACAAGGACAATAAGCAGAATGAGTAAATGAATAAGCAGAATCATGAGTAAAAGAATAAATCTCATTTACCCCATCCCGAGCAATACAGACTGCATGTGGATTTCTGAGAGAAGGAATAAATCCCTTATACCCCGCTTCCAAGCAAAAAGATGCACGCTTTTTCCGGTTCAATGAAAGTCGTATGACATAACACAAGTTAACCTCAGATCAATCAAACAGCTGTTTTCTTTCAATTTTGAATTTGTGTTAATTCTTTTACAATGTCACATTAAAACATGTCAGTAAGATAAATTTATTGTAGCAGGGGTACATGGGGATTTATTCTGTCTCTCAGAAATCCATGTGAAGCTTGTATTGCTCGTGGCATTGGGTTTTATACTACTCCAGCTCGTGGTATAAAACCAAACGCGAGATGCATAAATCCCCATGTACCCCTCGTGATCCTGCTACAACTTATATACTCATGTTAAGTACACATATCATACTTGTAGTCTTTCCCTTGAATTAATATGGACCTTTTTTCAATTATATGAGATGAAATCAGGATAGCCGGTGCCATAAGTGCCATACTCTAGTGTTGGGAGGGGGCATGGATGGCCCAGTCGTCTAAGGCGTCCCTTGGGCCACCAGAAACCTATGATTGTTGGTTCGAATCCTGGTTCGCACCGATTATGTTTCTAGGTTTGTCAGCACCATACCCGTGCTCGTGGGTTTCACCGAAGTGGTAAACGTCTGAGACCTGCATCACTTCGGGCTTTCCTCCCACATTAAGATGACACGCCGTGATATAACTGGAATACTGTTAAAGGGTGGCGTGAAACCCAACTCACTCACTCACTCACTCTAGTGTTTGGATACTCTACCAGCTGTGTGCTTTACAGACAATGGTAGACAGGATTCGTCTTAAAGAGAGTCAAAACTAAACATTGTGTGTTTCGATCTTGGATGAGATTGCAATTGCATGTCAAAGCCATCTTACAAGCATGCTAAGATTGGTTTGTCCAAGTAGAATAAGACTTATATATGGTGATATTAAGTTGATTGTATGTACCAAAGACCGACATAACTACAGTTACTCGGTGCAAGAGGACGCAGAAGAAGGAAGACCCAATCACTTCTGTACTTACACCAAGAGCTCGGGCTGAGGAAGTAGAAATGGAGAAGAAGATGAGGAGAAAAGGAAGCAGGATGATCCCCTTTCCTCCCATGTTTCATGCTAGCGTCTTAGGTATCTAGAACGTCCATTGAAATCCATTTCTGAAAAAGAAAATATTTGCACGTCTCAGAGGCCGATCTAGAATTCGCCCCCGACAACCCTTACACCACGCACAACCCACCCCATACACACCACATCCCATCCCATCATGTGCCCATACATCGAACATACACATACACAAACACATACACCCAGAGTGACAAAAGACGATGCTCCAATGGAGACTCACCTCGATAGTTTTCACAAACGAGTTAGATTTACAGTATTTTACAACCACCTGCAGATATAGCCGAGACAGCTTGCCTCGACATGGCATGGCCGCAGGACCCCATCGCGGCTCTCATCAACAAGAAGCTCAGGTCAAAGTAAATCTACACTGATTCACATGGATTCAGTTTCACCTGAGCCTCTTGGTGACAGGTGCTGACCCTGAGGTTTAGACATGATGCGGCGTGGGTTTTGCGTTCTTCTGCGACATGCCCCGTAATCACTGATAATCTAGACTTGTGCTAGCTATTCTTGAGTTGTGACTGCATGTCAACTGATTGTACACGATTTCACGCAGTAATCCGAAGAAGCAAAACACAAACTCACCCATGTTCCAAAATGGTGGCTTAACTTCGGTCGCGTCAGTGTACGGCCGCACCTACCGTAATTATAGAAATGATGTGGCATTTAATATAATGTTGACATTTTCAAATGAAATATTAGGCTGCGGTGTGTTTGCATTGTGCATACGTAAAAATAAAATGGATAGCTCATGGGTAACATTTGTGGCCGTGTTGCATTGTTTTGCGGTAACACGGTAATTAGCCTTAAGGTTTATTTATAGAATTGGGATTTTCCCGTATAAAGCATTAAATATAAATTCATTGAGCTCGGGTAGTTCCGGTACGGATTTCAGTATTGACGTTAAACATGATTTTTACCGTTTTCTAAATAATGCAAGAAAACAATTGATTATTATTTTTATAGTCTATAATTTTGCATACAGTACTACTTTTTCATTCGTGACAAGCCGAATGTAGACTTTTTTGTAGGTTACGGAAACATGCGAGTGGTGACGAAGGGGACCTTTTCTGAAGGTGTCAATCGGTTGAAGTCGTTGGGGAAAACCCCATCTAATTTTAGCCCGTGTACGACCCTGACGAACCAGCTTTGACCATGGAAGACCCAAATTAAATTTGGTTTACCAAGAGGCCAGACACCAATATCTATATATATAACCTATCTAAATTTTAGGCATAAATAAGTTTTTAATTTTAGGCATAAATGGGTTTTCTTTCAACAGCTTCAAAAGCCTAATGTTCACATTTTTCAACCATCTCGAAGTTATGTCGAATCCGGATGTGCATGACTCAACCCCCAAAAGTATTAGAATCTGTACTTTTCAAAGAAAGTGTTCTCCCGATATAACATTTGTTACATCTCAAAATTCTAAGAAACGCGACATAGTTATTAGAGAAGTACGTGTTGTTAATTATAAAATAATATTTTCAAAATATATCATTTAAATCTGAAGGAACGAAATGTACGTTATATTTCTGCCCAAAAGACCTTTCAGCAAATATTTGCTTGACGTAGAGTTGTGTGTTTCGTCTTTTTAATAGTTGGAGCATTTGCCAATTCTTTGAATGCCCATTTCTGGTGTCCCCCGCCGTGATATTGCTGGAATATTGCTAAAAGCGGCGTAAAACCATACTCACTCACTCATTAAAGGTTACATTTTATGCGTTTTATTTCAGGTACTGCCCTTTTTATGCTTGGTTAACGCTGGTTATGTCAGTTGGAATCTAATCTACCCTGGTTACCTAAACTGTTGTGTCCTAAGTTGACTCAAGTTTTAATAATCAAGGACAAGGAACATCACGCAAACACCGTTGTGTCTTGGCTTGGCCCAAGGTGAAGGTAAGAGCGAGTGACCGGTGTCCTGGGATGTTAATGCACTTTACAAGTATGAAAAAGTGAATGAGTGGGTGAGTATGGTTTTACACCGCTTTTTTGCAGTATTCCAGCAGTATCACGTCAAAATTTGTTTGGGGGACATGAATAGAATATAATAATCTGTTGTACAACAACTTACTCCGATCCGCTGTTGCAGTTCTTTGCAAACGATTCCTTCTGGTAAGTGTTCATCTTTTGGTGAGCGGTGGGGCAGTCTTGTGGTTAAAGCGTTCGCTCATCACGGAGAAGCCCACGGGATCGATTCCCACATGGGTACAATGTGTGAAGCCCATTTCTGGTGTCCCCAGCAGTGATATTGCTGGAATATTGCTAAAAGCTGTGTAACACCATACTCACTCACTCATCTACAGGTCAACGTATACCTTACAAAAACTTAGGGATAAAGAATATTTGTATGACATTGTGTGCCCATTCTTCACTTCAAAACAATGCCGCCCTAAATATTCATGATCTCCAACTTTTTCAGTTTATATGTCTCCCTTCGTCCTGCACGTCCCAAATTTCTGGGAAGTTTGTTAGAGACAAGATGTTTGTTGTAAGTTTCCAGCTTTCATACAGCTGTTCATAAATATTCAAGTCTGAACATGACAATCCAGTGATTGACATCATGAGCATCGATCTACGCCATCTCCATCCGTCTCATCAGTAACTTTGCACATATATTCTCTTGCTCATGAACGTTTTGAGTTCCAATTAAAATACTCAATGCTAAAAATATCCTCACGGATTCTGTGATTCAAACCAATGTGATCATAAGTTACTGGCACACCAAAGGGACACAACTCTGCATAGCGAATGTTGGGGTCTTTGACGACACTTTCCCAAGGCTGGTATGATGAGACAAAGCGCTGTCTACTGAAATGATATACTACTCAAAAGAAGTAAACGAAAACCATTAATTATAAGCTTTGTGATGCAATGCCCACCACCCATGACAGATTAATTAGTCAAAGATCGTGTTCTTTAACTTCTTTTGAGTAGTATATATACATCCATGATATCAATGTTAATTTCGTAATGAAGAAAGTTTAATAAAACTGTCATCCTTATGTTAAGTGAAATATATTCTATGAATATAATTTTACATCCGTTATTTTGAAATTCCCATGTTTTATGTGCCTGTCTGTTGTTTAACACCACATTCAGCAATATTCTAGTTATGATGGCGGCCTGTAAATAATCGAGTCTGGACCAGACAACCCAGTGGTTGATATGAGCAACAATCCCTACCGCAGGGATTTTTTGGCGCACCATCAACTGAGACACCGAACTTGACCATCCTTCGATTGAGTCGCCTCCACTGCAAGCATAGGTTGCTGGGGACCTATCTAACCTTGAACCCTCACAGTGGGATGAGGGAGAGATCGAGTCTGTAAGGCACCTCTTACAAACAGCATAGGTAGATGAGGGTTCCCAAATTAAGACTCTGCTTGCTATTAGAACTGGGGTGTTGGGGACACTCTATGCCCCGAGTGGTACAGGGTTATATATTGCAAAGGGTTATATCGAACTGGGTTATTCCGCACTGGGTTATATCACACTGAGTTATGTTGCACAGGGTTATATCTCACATGGTTATATCGTTCAGGGTCATATCGATAAGACAGGTGAGGTGAGGTGAAATGGGGTTTAACGTCGCATCCAAGATTATTGCACTTATAGCGACGTGCATGTAGTGTGTGTGTTTGTGTGGCTGCTTGTACTAGTCCGGACTGATGCCAATTTATAGTGCTAGCTCACTGAGATACCATGCCGCCGATTAACATGAAAACCCCACTCAGACACAGTATACTGACTCCGAGCCGACCAGTCCTTGTTTTAGCCCCTTAAAGCCAAGCGCCAGACAGGGTAACAACAAGTACTATCTTTTAACGTCTTTTGGTATGGCACGGTCGGGGATCGAACCCCGGACCTTCCACTCTCCGGGCGGACGCTCTACCACTAGACCACGGAGGCGGTCCAGGTCCATCGATAAGACAGGATGGCAGAACCATAATAGTTCCAACTGGCTAAAATGAGTGAATAATTTGTGTTAAACACAGCTTTAAACAGCATTCTCGTTTTAACATGGCTTGTCAGCTTGATGTGGGAGGAAAGCCCCAATTGATGCAGGTGTCAGATTTTCACCACTTTGGTGAACCCACAAGCATGGGTATGGTGCTGACAAACATAATCTGACAGACGACTGGGCCACCCTGCCCACTACTGAAATGAGATTATTCACTCAATCACACACAAAAAAACATGGAAAACATTATTTTTTCCAAAAAATTTATTTGTTGTACAAAGAGGTTAACATTATGAAGTATGATCTTTGTTATATTCTTATGACAGACATGATGTACATATATATTAATGCTATTTACACTTGCAAGCACATAAAAAACACTGGTTAACTTTTGCAAAGCATCCTTTTGGAATACGTTTGTTTTGGTTGTTAAACACCGCACTCAACAATATTCCAGCTATGACGGCAGTCTGTAAATAATCGAGACAATCCAGTGATAGACATCATGAACATAAAATACATGTACTATACTACCCTCAACAAGAAGTCTCATACATCAGCCTACACACATTGTACAGACAGGAAGTCACACTTTGATCATACAACATGTATCAACCAATGTGAGTTACTTCAAAATAATTATCCCATGCATTTAGCACCAGGCTGAAGTAGGAATTTCACTGACACTAAATAACTGAGGTTGCAGTTTAATGCTATTTTAAATGGTATTTCAGGTATATCACCACATGTCAGCTTGATGTGGGAAGAGGGCCCCAGGTGTCTTTCACCGTGATGCTGACAAACCTAGAAACATACTATCAGTGTGAGTGAGTTTAACGTGGCTTTTAACATTATTCCAGTTATATCACGATGCGTCAGCTTAATGTGGGAGGAAAGCCCGAAGTGATGCAGGCCTAAGACGTTTACCACCCACGAGCACGGGTATGGTGCTGACAAACTTAGAAACATTATTGGGGCGAACCAGGATTCGAACCCACAATCATAGGTTTCTGGCGTGCCAAAGGGACGCAATTCTGCACAGCGAATTGAGGCGCCTTAGACGACTGGGCCACCCGTGCCCCCAGAAACATATTATCAAGGATGACCAGGACTTCAACCCACGATCAGCGGTTTCTGGTTCTGAAGAACACAGCTCTGCACAGTGAGATGAAGCATCTTATATGACAGGGCCACTTTGCCTGCCATAAACATATGAAGAGTAAATAATTCATCACAAATATCTGAAAAGCACGATTATTTCATTCTGACAACTGCAACCTATTTTTCCAACCAACCAAAATGGACTTTTCCCCAGAAACATCTCTAAATGAAGACATAAGAACAGTGTGGACAGAAATAAAGCCAAATTAACCAGTACAGTAAAAGGAGGTCAGATCTTAAATAATCTTAGAATAAAATGCCATTCCGAAACACCATCAATAACTGGCCTTACACCAGTTTGCACCCCAGATGATCATGATGAAAAATGGACAAATCATGATCTCTGGTTTCAATGGCAAGGACATGCATGTATTACCATGAAGGTTATTGAGGTTACATTATTGCAATATCTAATGTTCCATTATATGGAGTTGTTTCAGATTTTTTTAAAGCGCTCTGCAACAAACATCTTTCCTTTTTTTATCTCTCCCCCCCCCCCCCCCCCCCATATAATGACGGGGGGATATGATGAACTTAGGAAATTTGAGGGTAGTGCTCTTGTCCAGACCATATCTCCCGAACCATACAACTTAGCTTCTCAAAAGTTTTTACACCTGTCAAGCAGGTATGTAGTGGTGCCTTTGCTATTAACAGATTTTTTCTTTTTTTCAATTTAAATTGAAAATTGATGAACTTAGGGTAATGTCCTCGTCTGGAGCATATCATCTAAACCATGCAACAGAGATTCACCAAACTTTATGCACATATCAATCATGTTCACTAGTAGTGCAGTTTGTTATTTATAGATTTTAATCTTTTTAATTTGTAGCCCCTGACATATAATTCTAAGGTGTACTATTTACCGATATCATATACTTTGTGTCATATATCATATACGGGTCATTCTAAAAAAAAGTGAGTTTTTTAGTCCGAGTTGAATAACAATTAAAATATTTATTTTAGATATGTTGAAACACAAGTGTTTTTCGTAGAACATACCATGGTGTCTGAAAGTTAAGTTTCAGTATTTCTTATTAGGTATTTTATTTTAATTAAAACTGCTTAATTGCGGTTAAATTGAGCTGAAGGGTGTGTCCGTAACCCTATGTTTGCACATCAACATTGTTTAATGTTGCTAAAAATAAAAAATATTATGTAAATAATGTTTGTATATTGTACATTACCTTTCTAACTCATGATATAAAATTATCTTTTGAAGATACACTCTTTTATTTATATTGGTTTTTGGTAAGAAACACTTGTACATAAAAAAGTGTCTGTCCTGTTACCAGGATGGATCAAAACTGAAAAATAAATAATCCTTCAAGATTCCCATAATTCAAAATAACAGAAATACAGCTTACTTCCTGTGCTATCATGGCAGCAGTGTCCTTCAAGTGAGTGAAGACTTTGGATAATTCTGCTTGACAGGGAAGTTTATTCCTATCATGAATACTCTTTTCTTATGTCTGTGCTGTTACTGCTCATTTTTGCCAAAACAAATATTTTTTTCTAAAACCATTTTTTCAGAATATTAGAAAATATGAACTGTTCACAATGCCATGTGGTCTCAACATTTCAAGGGAGGTCTCATTAAAAAAAACTGTAATTAATGTCAATTTGTCTATGCTGTTACTGTCTGTGCTGTTACCTTCAAACATGTAACAGGACAGACATTCCGTGGTAACAGCACAGACTTATCATCATCTTAAACTGTCTTTCCTTGTTTCACCAATCAATAATATAATTACCATAATAACTCAAATAATTCCTTTTAAAATAACACAGACATTCAAAAGGCTATAGTTGTACAAATCTTCCAAGCTGAATAAAAACAAGTTGCTCAAGACTTAAAAGTAACAGCAGAGACAAATATTGGTAACAGCACAGACATTTGGTCAGCTTTATCTAACTATTCTTGTCCAATCACTCAATATTCAAATTTTATGAAACATTAAGACATATGTTTTCAAATTTATCACAGTTTAGAAGAAAACATACACATAAAAATAGACTACTTTGTTGAAGATAGTTATCTGATGAAAAAGTAACAGCACAGACATTCCGTGGTAACAGCACAGATTTATCATCAGCTTAAACTGTCTTTCCTAGTACGACTCGTATAACCAATCAATAATATAATTACCATAATAACACAAATAATTCTTTTGAAATAACACAGGCATTCAAGAGGCTATGGCTGAACAAATCTTCCATGCTAAATAAAAAATATTGGTTAAGACTTAAAAGTAACAGCACAGACATTTGGTCATCTTTATCTAACGTTTCTTATCCAATCACTAAATATTCTAATTTTATGAAACATTCAGAGATATGTTTTCAAATTTATCACAGTTTAGAAGAAAACATATATACATAAAAAAATAGACTACTTTGTTGAAGATAGTTATCTGATGAAAAAACAACAGAAGGGTGGAGAAGACAGGTGGTGTGGTGGAAAAGGGTGAGGTTGTGAAAAGTGTGGAGAGGACAGATGGTGTGGTGGAGAAGGGTGAGGTTGAGAAAAAGGTGGAGAAGACAGGTGGTGTGGTGGAGAAGGGTGAGGTTGAGAAAAGGGTGGAGAGGACAGGTGGTGTGGTGGAGAAGGGTGAGGTTGAGAAAAGTGTGGAGAGGACAGGTGGTGTGTTGGAGAAGGGTGAGGTTGAGAAAAATGAGAGTGACATTTTACTATCCGTTCCAGATGATACAGAAGAGTGTCTTGGAAAATGTGTGGTTGTGTTATATGATGGTTTTCCATATCCTGGATACATAGATGTTTCTACCTATGATATATATGTGGAATGCATGCACAAGCCTGGCAAAAAATGGGATCAAAAATGATTCTTCTGGCCAAGACTCCTGCTGGACAAATGCTGGTACAAGCACGAGGACATTATTACCATCATTCCTGAATGAAAGAAGATTGAAAGCACTGCTTCCCACTTCAGTGTTGAAAACATTTACTGGGAAGCTATTACCGATATGATAAAACAGAAACAATAAACAACCTGTGGTTTCTGGGTGAATGAAAGGCACCATTTAATTCTGGCACTAATCAAATAATCATAGATCTATACAAGTGAATTGTACTTTTAAGGAACTATAATTCACCTTTTCAGACCGTTTATTTGAGTATTTGCGAATACAATTGCAAAAGAATACAGCTTCAACAGGAAATCTTCTGACAAGTTTGTTTTTCTCCAGATTATGTTGATGTTTGACATGGATAAAGTTGGTTATTGTGTTGTTGCTTCATGACAAAAACTGTCACATGACTATTTAGTGTAAGTTTAAATCAATTTAAATTCTTTGTAATTCTAGGGATTAACTCAAAATGCAAAAGTTATTGTCTTTGGCGTTACTTCCGTCTGTGCTGTTACCTACCAGTATCCTACATTCAGATTACATAGAAGAACATTCAGTTAATAACATCCATATGATCAGATACTGTTAATTAAGCAAAACATTTTCTTATTTGTCAGAGTTCAAAACTTTGAACTTCTGAACAGGATAGTTGACTGCAAACATAAGTTTGTCCGTCCTGTTACTTTCAATGGTCCGTCCTGTTACCGACCGGTTTCTATAGTTCAGATTACATACAAGAATATTCAGTTAATTACACCTTATATGTTCAGGTGTAATCAATTGCACATACTTTTTTCGTATTTGTCAGATATTTCAAAATCTTGAAACTCCTGAACATTATAGTTATCTGCAATCAAAGCCGATTGTCCGTCCTGTTACTTTCAATTGTCCGTCCTGTTACTACGTTGTCTGTCCTGTTACCAGCACTTAAAATAGAAATATACTGATTATTTATTTTTATTTTTCAGAAGAACATATTTGAATTCAAACATATATCATCTAATGAAGTATATGTGTCAAATATATGATGCAATAATCAGGGTATGTTTGTCATATTGGATTTGAATGAATTCAAATGTTTTCATTTGACTCAAATGCTGGACAAATCTGTCCATAAAATAATGTATCCAATCTCTTTTTAATTGTACTCATTGAAATATTAAACAATACATTTAAAAACAAGAACTGACATGATTTGTGTTGAACTTTGAAAAATATTGTTACAGAAAATATAATTGTTAAAATGGTAACAGGACAGACATATTTTTCCTATTCAGTGTTAATTAATTATCATAATTAGGACATCATTGATTATTAAGGTGTCATTTTGCTTAACATTATTATTCAGAAGTTACTTTGTGTACTGAGTCAATAAAAAAGGAATTTTACAAAAGACAATTTTGATGTTTTTGCTTTGTTGAAATTCTGACATTTTTTGAGAATGACCCATACATGTACTGTATATGATGTGAGCTACATAACCTAGTACATTCTCTTTATGCCTTTGTGTCATGAGGCTACTACAGAGCTATTCATATGTGAATCTGCGAAATAATTATTACAATTTCATGAGATCATCAGAAAGTGAGCTACATGAAGCAATATTTAATAACCTTCATTATATTTCTGATTTTGGCATCATGGAAAAAGATTTCCTTACCAATCTAAATACATTTGAAGGTACACACAGTTTACCGACATGCCACGTCGGGGGGATATGTCATCTTCAGATGACTCTTGTTTCCATAAAACAACAGTATCTGTCTTCAAGTGACTTTGGTGTGAAAATGGATGATTTTATTTCAAAATAGATTATGTTTCTTAACTTAAATTGTAGTTGATCACAACTGGGCAATGCTGAATATTCAGAAAATAACAAACCCGCAATGAGGATTGAAGTTTGTAACTTCTATGGATCAACACTTTCTGAGAGAACAGAATCTAAATTCCTTAAGTTCTATGTTTTCAAATAATCTTTTTTTCTCCATTTGAGCATTACTTTCAACTGGTTAATTATTATAGGGAGGGTGTGTCGACAAAAAATCTAAGGCGATCATAAAATACTAAATCCTTGATGGATGTCATTGATGTCCAATTTTTGAATGCTTTGCTTTGATATTCAATTTTGAGGTTTAAGCATATTATACCAAACAAATGCAATCAGAGCATTTATTTTGGCCTTTTTGCACTTCATCGCCTTATTTTAGAAATAACCACGCTGTCGTGTAGTAATAGCATCAAACAAACGTGGTGGAGAGGTATTCTGTAGGTGTACCCATGTTTCAAACTGATCATTTACCCCTTGATCCTACAACACAGAGAGGGGTGTTTGGCATCCCCTATAATGTAGGAGTTGGGCCTGACTTGAAGCTGCTAAGATGGAGTGACTCTCCACCTAAAGATGGTGGCTCTGACCCCAGGCTCTGATTCCTACTCTCCACTACACCGGGCTGAGGCTGAGGCTGAGGCTTGGGCTCGGGCTCGGGTTCGGCCTGGTGCTGGGGCAAGACTGGCTTTTCTGTTCTCATCCTTTCAACAACAGGATGTTTATCCGAGACAGGTCTTTTTTTCTCAGTCTTCGAGACTTCTGCTATATGTCCTTCTTTCACAACAGACTTCACGCTTGTGTTCTGTTGACCTTGGAGCGATGAATGCTGGGGTGTCGTGGCACATATAGTCCTGGCAGTCATAGCACATGGTCCATCATGACTTGTGGGGTCCAGAAGTTCACCTGTAAACGCAGAATGATATGATGATAAAGTTCTTGTGAGAAAAAAACATCATAAATTGTTTAAAAAATAAGTAGTTTCTGCTTGTCACAGAATCATTTTCTTGAAATTGTTGTTTGGAAAAAGGTTCTCATATCATTTCCAAAGCCCAAAGAATGGACACCTTTTTGCAGCATTCAGTGATGATGTAAATATTTCATAAATAAATCGAGTTGAAAGAAGCTGTGCAAAGTGTTTTCAGCATATTGAAGGCCAAAATAGATTAAAAAGATTTTCATCCAAATTCTTAGTGAGACTCGTATCATTCTATTCTTTAGATATCATTCTTTTGAACAGATTAGTTAAAAAAGACGGCATGAATAATGTGTTTCACATGAATCATGACTGTTTGGGAGTTCAAGGCATATGAAATTTTCATCAAGAAAGAATCAAGGAAACCTATGTGGTGATTTTCTCTGTCTGGGAACTTGGGGACAGCATGACGGGAGGCCTGTCTTCTGAAAGTGAGGCGGTCGGAATGAAAATCTTATAATTTAATATGGCCCAGTGATCTTTTTCAAATTTCTTCAAAGAATGTATTACCTTCATTGAGAACAATTTCCTTTTTTCCGAGAGTTGTGTCGGGGCCTACTGCCCCTGTCCTTGCTGTCATGTGATCGGAATTACTCAAGGTCATGGGGTCAAAGTTTATTGTAGGTCCCACGACGCCATGCCTGTACTGTCCTGAAGAACATAATGAATCAAGGCTTGTAAGGAAAGCTAATGATTTTGATTTTGATTTTACGTAACATTATTTTAACTCTATTTTTCTCTTCAGTTAAGGTAATAATATCAGCCAATCTAGACTGGCCATGTGACAGTTGACCTACTTAACCTGATGCTTTTAGAACTGACCTTATAGGTAGAGAATCTCACCGGAGTGTCTTTTGATATCAAATATATCAACATGAGTTGATAAAATTGGAAAAACTACAAGGCTTGCCGAGGAGTTTTTCCACTTTTATCACGTAATACATGACCTAAATATATCACAATGGACTTCCCTTCCTGCACACAGTGTCAGTGTTATAACAACCAGGACTTCCCTTCCTGCACACAGTGTCAGTGTTATAACAACCAGGACTTCCCTTCCGACACAGCATAAGTGTTATAACAACCAGGACTTCCCTTCCGACACACAGTGTCAGTGTTATAACAACCAGGACTTCCCTTCCGACACAGCATAAGTGTTATAACAACCAGGACTTCCCTTCCGACACACAGTGTCAGTGTTATAACAACCAGGACTTCCCTTCCTGCACACAGTGTCAGTGTTATAACAACCAGGACTTCCCTTCGGACACACAGTGTCAGTGTTATAACAAGGACTTCCCTTCCTGAACACAGTGTCAGAGTTATAACAACCAGGACTTCCCTTCCTGCACACAGTGTCAGTGATATAACAACCAGGACTTCCCTTCCTGCACACAGTGTCAGTGTTATAACAACCAGAACTTCCCTTCCGACACAGCATCAGTGTTATAACAACCAGGACTTCCCTTCCAACACACAGTGTCAGTGTTATAACAACCAGGACTTCCCTTCCGACACACAGCGTCAGTGTTATAACTTATAACAAAAGGACTTCCCTTCCTGCACACAGCGTCAGTGTTATAACAACCAGGACTTCCCTTCGGACACACAGAGTCAGTGTTATAACAAGGACTTCCCTTCCTGCACACAGTGTCAGTGTTATAACAACCAGGACTTCCCTTCCTGCACACAGTGTCAGTGTTATAACAGCCAGAACTTCCCTTCCTGCACACATTGCAGTGATATAACAACCAGGACTTCCCTTCCTGCACACAGTGTCAGTGTTATAACAACCAGGACTTCCCTTCCGACACACAGCGTCAGTGTTATAACTTATAACAAAAGGACTTCCCTTCCTGCACACAGCGTCAGTGTTATAACAACCAGGACTTCCCTTCCGACACAGTGTCAGTGTTATAACAACCAGGACTTCCCTTCCGACACACAGTGTCAATGATATAACACCCAGGACTTCCCTTCCTGCACACAGCGTCAGTGATATAACACCCAGGACTTCCCTTCCGACACAGTGTCAGTGTTATAACAACCAGGACTTCCCTTCCGACACAGTGTCAGTGCTATAACAATATTCCCCTGTATGCATTTATTATATTTTTTCCTCACTGACAGCGTACCTGTTGAGTATGGTGGTGGGTCATAACTTGGTAAACTTCCACAATGCTTTGGCTGCCCTGGCTGGGCAATAGGCGGCTCTGGTTGCTCTGGCTGGGCAATAGGCTGCTCTGGTTGCTCTGGCTGGGCAATAGGCTGCTCTGGTTGGTCAGTAGACTGCCTGGGTAGACTTTCTATTGGCTCGTCTGTCTCAGCATCTGATTCTTGAAGATGTTGTTGTTCTGTAGTACCATATCTAACCAAAAGCTGATGATTCTCTGCAGGCAAACCTGGAAAATATGACACTTGATCAGTGAGCTTGGTTACAGGCGTCTGTAAATGAGTGTGAACAGTGAGTGACTGAATCTGCCGCTTTGAGCAATATTTCCCTTTTATTGACGTGTGTCAGTTAAATGTGGGAGGAAAGCCCCAAGTGATGTCGGTCTTCAGAACTTGGTGAGACCCATGAGTACTGTGCTGACAAACACAGAACCATAATCAGGCCGAACCGGAATTCAACCCTGACCACTGGGGCCACCTGTGCCTACTAGGCCTCTAGAACTGAACAATGTTCAGTTCAAGTTACAGTGAAACCTCGTTAGTCCAGACCTTGCTAATTCAGAAACACAAGGTCCAGATTCTTTCCACATCAACTGCATGTATTCAAGGGACATAACTCTGCAACCTTGTTTAAAATTGTTTCCTTAATTTCAGAATTCACTTCAATAAAGTAAAAAAAAATAATTGAGCCTCTTCCAATTTATTGGTCCTGTCACCTTGACCAAGCCACCACATTAATTATATTAACAGTATTAATATAAATTGAGAATCTATTTGTTCCCATTGGGATATTTCTACTGATGTCTGCAGCAGACTTGGTATGAATATCGGCCTCTGAGCAGATCTAGATAAATCCATGAAAAAGATTCATTAATAAGGAAATCAGATGAATTTTGATATTAATAATAGCATACTTATCCTGACACAACACATTGAAATTTCCTGCTGACACAGAACCTAAAACGTGCCCCTTTTTCATCTCTGAGGTTTCACAACTAAAACGTGGGATACTGACCGATACACCAAGAAAAGTGTGGGTATAGCTATTATAAATCTGGACCAGACAATCCAGTGATTGATATTGTGATCCACACTGTCAGGGTATGCCATAATCCAAGTCAGCTAGTCAGACCACTCGACCTGCATTGGTTGCTGGGGATCAATTCTAAACGGAAATGCCCTCCCTTTTTGATGTCAAAACATTATTGTTCAGTGTTGATTTTATTTGTCATCGAAATAAATAGAAGAAAAATGGCACCATTCTGTCAGCTTGGTCTCATGCTCTTGGTTTCACTTCAAAGAGAGAGTGAGTGCTTATTTGTTAGTTGTTTAAAGCAACACACACCAATATCCCTGCTCTATGACAGTGGACTGTAAACAATTAAGTCTGGATCACTCAATCCAGTGATTGACATGAGCATCGATCTACACAATTGGGACACAATGACATACATCAACTAAGTCAGCGAGTCTGACCACGAAATCCAGTTTATCACCTCATATGACAAGCATGGGTTGATGAAGACAATTCAAACCCAGATCTGGACAGGGGAGAGAGTGAGAATGCAGTCAGAAGTACTCCACCTCGTCAGGAACAACAACCCACATCATCAGGGCACAGCCAAATCAGAGAGCCGGACCACCTCAACACCACTGCAGTCGTGCCGTAGGACCAGCAGGAGGTACTGGGGATCCACCCCGACTCTCAATCCCCCCAGTGTTGGTGAAACCCATGACATCTCACCTTCGTTAATCACTGCAGTACCAGGACAACTGGACACAGATCCAAACACACAGCAGATGCACATACGATTTTGAGCATTCGTTCTGTCTGAAAATAAGAAATAATTCACTTGTTACTAAAATGAACAATATCAAACCTGAATGTTCCAAATTAAGGTCAACTAAGAGTCATCAGAAGATTACAAGAGTTTGCCACTAACGTGGCTATATCCCCTGCCCCTGTTGCAGAATTTATGAAAAATTAAATCTAAACAAACTCTAACCTTTTTTAACCGAGGTGGAACTTGTCATGGAAATTGTAAAAAAAGAAGAGTTTGGAACCTAAGTCCATCTTGTTGCCTTGGAAATGTAAAAAATAAAAATTTCTAGCAAAAGCCACCAGTTCAGCATGTACTTGACAGACCTGCAAAGTTTCATGAAAAAATATTGAACAGTTTCTGAGTTATGCTCTGGAAACGAAACATGACGGACGGACGGACGTATGGACGGATGAAGCCCTTTTTCACTCTGTTGGGCGGGGAATAAAAACAAATCACCCTTGGCCCCAAAATATTCGACAGAACAAACCATCTGAATGTTACAGCAAGTCCAACAAGAGTGATCTGTCCCACTTGATGAGAGTATTCGTCTCTAATCTGTCTGTCCGAGTAGTTATTGGGCTTTCAATACAATACCATGGTATTGGGATTCTGAACTTTGTATTTTTATGTCAGGTCCTTTTTTGCAAAGATAGGGATAAGTGGATGTCACACATCTGATACATGGTTTATGCAGTAATTGGTTGCATTACCAGCTGTAGTTATCAACAGGTACTGAAGCTCACCTTTCACATCAAACTTATGAAATTTTATATACTGCATTTCAATAGAAACATGAAAATAAAAAAAGAATTCTTGCTTCACTGGTGTCAAGGAAGGACATGCAGCAGGATGAGGGGAGACTCGGGGAACCTTCCTGCAGTCGCAGCAGGATAAATATATTCAAAATATTCAAATTCATAAATCGACTACTTACTTCACCCGACCCGTGAAGATCTAGATCAGAATAGGTCTTCAGCAACCCATGCTTGCCGTAAAAGGCGACTATGCTTGTCGTAAGAGACGACTAACTGGATCAGGTGGTCAGGCTCGCTGACTTGGTTGAAGCATGTCATCGATCCCAATTGCATGGATCGATGCTCATGGCGGCAATCACTGGATTGTCTGGTCCAGATTCAATTATTTACAGATCGCCATCATATTGCTGAGTGCAGGTTAATTTAAACAAACAAAACCATCTTACTTCCCCCAGGATGTGCATTCACTGGTCCAGTATCAGCAGCACAAAATGGGTTGGTCTACACCCTTGTGAAAACTGAGAAGATGGGTGGGATTACTCCTCATGTAAAAGAGGTAGTATTCTAAGAACTTGTAACAAAGATAACTATTTATTATATAATGGGTAGGTTTCTCAGCAGGATAAAGCCAACGGACAAAAACGATATCCGTTGGGGTCATATGCAGATAGAGATGCAAATATCAAAGGTCAAATTGGGACAACTTTCAGTGTTTACAAACAAACATGGCGTCGCCCTTCTCATTCGGCGATCGTGTCAAAAGTAACCATCGGGAATCTGGAGAAACTACTGTGATAATTACTTTCATTATCAAAACAATAGTCTCACATACTGAAAATCGGTGTCCAACTGTGACGTAGCTGAGGCATTTTACAAGTTTGGGCAATTTTGTAGATATAAACTGCGAAGGACACTAGCCAAGTGGGATCAGTTTCCATAGCTATGCTTGTAGACCTCTGCGGCTTGGAACATTTTCCACATATTAGAAACAGTTGGATTTGGGCGAAATACGTTCGAATTGTTACCTTGAGTCCTGTTGTCGCTGTGTGAACATCTGACTGCACCTCATAACATTATGACAGGACAGGCCGACTGTCAACATCTGGCTGTGGCCGTGGCGTCACAGGGTAAGTGAAGTGTCAGTCGGACAGTGACAGTAGCCAATATAGTTCTGTTTCTTATACAGTGGCAAAGCAAAATATACGCAAAACAACAATCCTTCTTTTTAATTGCCTTTCGTGGCAATCCATCGGTCTGTCCGATAGAGTATCTGTCCTTTATCAAAGGGAAGCTACTCTAACCCTAGTCTATGAGACATAACGGCCACGGTCAGACGTTGTTGACAGTCGTTCTGTCCTGTCATAACGTTAAGAAGTGTAGTCAGATGTACACACAGCAACAAAACGAAACAAGGTAACAATTCAAACATATTTCGGCCAAATCCAACTATTTTAATTTGTGGAGAAGGTTTCAAGCCGCAGAGGTCTAGAAGCACAGATATGGCTACAGATCCCGCTTGGCTAGGTCTCGTGCCCTCGCAAAATTGTTTCGAAATTTATATCTCCAAAGTTGCCCAAACTTATAAAATGCCTTAGATACGTCACAGTTAGACACTGATTTTCAGTATATTAGACTGTTCTTTTTGATAATGGTAGCAATTATCCCTGTAGTTTATCCAGATTCCTGATGGTTAATTCTTACTCGATCGCCGAATGACGAGGGCAACGCCATGTTTGTTTATAAACAGTGAAAGTAGTCCCTACTTGACCTTTGATATTTGCATCTCTATCTGCATATGACCCCAATGGATATCGTTTTTATCCATTGGCTTTATCCTGCCTACCCATTATATGATAAATATCAATCCGCACATTTCAGGAAAACTTGCAATGTTTAGGCAATGTTTGTGAGAGATGGGAAGAGATTTTCGAGCACATAATTAAAGAATGACATTATAAGATAAACATGTCATCACGCTTGTGTGTTTGGGGATGGTAAATATCCTGTATTAGGAATAAACACTATGTATTTAGGTCGCTAAATACAATGTTTATTCCTGATACAGGATATTTACCATCCCCAAACACACTCGCGTGATAACCTGTATTTATTTGATAATTCTGCGGATACCCTACCTCTCTTTCATCATTGCCAGAATACACCAGAGGGGCCGGCAGGTTCTGAGACCTAGTCATCCTTGAATATTTTAATAGCTGACAGTAACATTAACAGTATCATATAAGGCATGAATCAGAAGACAGGCTGGTTGGTTGGTTGGTTGGTTTGTTTAACGCGGCACTCAGCAATATTCCAGCTATATGAAGGCGGTCTGTAAATAATCGAGTCTGGACCAGACAATCCAGTGATTAATATCCTCAGCATCGACCCACGCAACTGGAGTGAGTGAGTGAGTTGGGTTTAACGCCGCTTTTAACAGTATTCCAGTTATATCCCAGTGTGTCAGCTTAATGTGGGAGGAAAGCCCGAAGTGATGCAGGTCTCAGACATTTACCACTTCGGTGAAACCCACTAGCACAGGTATGGTGCTGACAAACCTAGGAACATAATCGTTGAGAACCGGCCACACAATTGGGATTGATGACAAGCATCAACCAAGTCAGCAAGCCTGACCGCCTCTTACGACATTAGGAATATCCACTGAACTACCATTTTATCTGTATTCCTTTCACATCAATTTTGGTTTGTGACATCACTTCCTGTTCACATGACGTCGCTTGCAGTTCCGACTGTGTCACTTTCAAAACCGATGACATTATATCTCGGTTCCAGTGACGTCATGTCCAGTTCCAATGTCACTTCCTGTTCTGATGTTCACTTTTGGTTATGACGTCACTTCCTGTGCACTGTACATCAAAACCAGATCTAATAATATGATTCCAACCATATTCCTATGATCTGAGTTTTGTCTCTCTTACTGTCATGGAAGGAAAGTGAGTGAGCTGGTATGGTTTTACGCCGCTTTTAGCAATATTCCAGCAATATCACAGTGGGTGACATTGTACCCATGTGGGGAATCAAACCCGGGTCTTAGGCGTGATGAGTGGAAACTTTAACCAGTAGGCTACCCCACCGCCCCTCGAATGAAAGTAATCATGCATTGTTCACAACAAAATCTTACCAACGGAGTCCTTTGTTCTTGTTCGGTAACACAGGACTGCCACAACTCCAACAATGATGCCACAAGCCAAGATTGCAACAGAGAACCAAATGTACCACTTGGAGATGATATTGGTGTTGGAGTTGGAGCCTGTCTGGAAGCTGTAACAACATGATATGCCAAACTCAATTTAAATTGTTACCGTATTCGACGTAATAAGCGCCCAGGGCGCTCTCAAAATTAGAAATAGGGGGCTCTTATTAGAATATTAATTTTGTGGAAAAAACAGAGTTGAAAGATAAATTTCGTGGTTTATGCGGATTCCAGAATTTAATTGCCCATAATTAAGGGTGCATAAAACACACGAGTGTGTATTATACACGAATAAATAAGTCTTGTGTACTTTGATCAATCGGAAGGGGTGCTAATTGGGATTGTTCACTTGCCAATATATTAGCAAATATCGCCGTGGGCGCTTATTAGAGCGGGGCGCTTATTACGTCGAATACAGTATTAATAAAACCAGGGTCTCAACCTAAGGCTAAGACACCTACATTTGACTCACAGCCCAATCAAAATGTTCAATTACAACTACAGCCCATGACACCCAAGGGATTCTTGAACACTGAATTTATCCTAATGCATCCCTAATTATATTGCAGGTATGTCTTAAGCATGCATACTTTGGTCCAAATCGGTAACAATACCACAGTTAGGCAAAATGGCAGACGAAAGAAAACAAACCATTAGATCTATTTCATTCGGAAAATATTGAAATCGACAGGAAGTGGTGTCTTACATCACTAATTTGAGATACGAAATAAAAGTTGGTATGTTGCAAATGTAATGCCAACCGTTCGGCAATTGAACGGTGAACATAAGAAATGTACCTTTCATGTTAGAGAGGTACATTGAAAATATTAGAATGGGCCTCAGCCAATCAGAATCCGTCATTCATGTGCAAGGTAGGATAAACGGTTATTGTACACAGAAATAAGTGGACATAGTTGATATTACTTCGAGAACTGAGGTTACTCAGTCTCGGATCATATAAAGGATTAATTAGGACTTAAGTACGAGAAACTAATTAAGTCGTCATGTTCTCCTTAATAAATTTTTAGGCAAAACATGCAAACTTTGTTTAGATTCAAACTGCCTTTGGTTCCTATTGATTCAGAGTTACTAATAACCAATGTCTCAACTCCTCTTGTTTATGATGCTGAATGAGTCAGATTGATGTAACACCACTTTGAACAATATTTCACTTAATGTGGGAGGAAAACCCAAAGTGATGCAGGCCTTAGACATTTACCACTTGGGTGAAACCCTTGAGCACGGGTATTAGGGCTGAAACGATCCCGGGACACCGATGCATCGCGATTAACTCCATACCATTTGTGAGGTGCGGTATCTAAATTTTTCACAATACAATTTTTTTAATAAACTTTTATCAAGTTTTAAATGTGTTGTAAATGAATTTCTAATTCAAACCGAGTCATAAAAACTAAGGGACAATATAATTTTCGTCTTCGAAAATACAGCAGCAGTAGCAGTAGCAGTTCAAGCTTTCTGATTAGCTGAGCGGTCTCTAACGCAATCATGTTGGAAAAAAGCAGATGCTCGTCCTTTGCAAGAAAAACCAACGAGGACTTACGGTGAAAATGGCAAGTTACTGGTACTTATCTTGTCCATGTAGGACTGTTACGTTTGTGTTTGCTTGCCATTACATGGACGAGGTGAAATGGGGTTTAACGTCACGTCCAAGATTATTGCACTTATATAGCGACGTTAGCCATTACATGGAAATGGCAGATGATTCATTAAGTTAAAATACTCATTACAGTATATATTTGATGACTCATGAACATTCATTAACTTTCATTTAATTTTTCATTTTAATAATGGTTTAATAATAGTTTAATTAGTAAAATCTAAATATTTTTTACATTTGTATACTTATCCTGCATTACTCCGTATTGCATTTACTGCTGTCTTTTACAGAGAGACGAACTGTGTGAGATCCAGCTGCTGAAGAAAGTTGTTTCCATCTGTCCAGGAAGCAGCGCCCCCTCCCACACAGTCGGCACGTGACCCCGAAGACATGACGTCATGTCAAAACACATAACTGCTTTAACATACCATCGGAAACTTCGTGGGGAGGTAGCGGAGCGCAGGGGGGGCACTTAGACTTCGTAATGCAGGATAAGTATACAAATGTAAAAAATATTTAGATTTTACTATTTTTTTTAACTTATCCTGCATTACTCCGTATTGCATCTTTATCAGACGGCACGGCCGGTGTGCATACCTTCAGATGTGAGCATGAAGAAAACCCTCGACAAGGTCCGATGAAATCGCACCGCATGGACAAGAGATGACCGGAACACCAGCGACCATTCCTGTCGAAGGAAACGAGAGTCGATGCAAAAGAGGGAACCCGAAATAGGTGACAGAAATAGTATGAGGCAGGAAGGCCAAAACTAGAACTGACCGAAGAGTGAATGCGGAACGCAGGAGAGCCCTCTAATCTGGGGTGATAAACACCAGAGAGTTCGACGGGCCCCGTTTAGGGTAACGGAGAATCAGTGGCGTCGGGGGTTGGTTACATCACGGAGGTAGTGGCTGGCAAAAACGGTGTTGGATCGCCCCAAACAGCCTTCCATGATCGATTTGAGGGAACAGTTACTGTGCAGAGCCATGGTAGACGCGACCACCCGAATCTCGTGTGGGTTGTTAGCCTTAGGGGGGTCCAATCCGGCGACTTTATAAGCTTGGAGGATGACCGCCCGGATCCACAGGGAGATAGTATTCCGGCTGACCTCCGACAGCGACGAAGGGGAGACCGGTAGTAAAGGCGTTTCCTACTCTTACGGCAGGCTTTAGATCATCGCAGGAAAACCTTCAGGGCCCTAACTGGGCATAATAAAAGCTCCTCCACGTCGTCGGCACCCACAATCGATGAAAGGGGAGGGATGGTGAAGGATCTATCAGGCTGTCCTGGGAGTTGATTCTTTGCGATGAAGTCCCAGCACAGCCCAAGATGAACTGCGCCATGAGTCCCGTGTTCGAACCGGACACGAGAGACGTCGAGGGCGTGGAGCTCACTAACCCGGGCGGCCGTAGCCAAGGCCAGTAGAAACACCGTCTTCTTCGTTAAGTCGTAAAAGGAAGACGTGTGGAGTGGTTCGAAGGGAGCCTCCCGAAGAGCCTTTAAGACCACATTCAGATCCCACGCAGGCGGTCTGAACTTGGCTTTCTGGTCGTCGAGACGAAACGAGCGCAGCAACGCCTGAAGTTCGGGAATTTTCGTCATTCTCCGGTCGTCCGGGATGGCAAGGACGGAGTTAATGGTGACCAGGTACGTGGAGATGGTACAGCCTTTAAATCGACGTGTGCTGCGCAAGTACAGAAGAAACTCAGCCAGGAACTGCGGTGACGCCGTCATCGGATCCTGATGCTTGTCAGAGCAGAAAGCCTGGAACGAGGACCATTTATCATCATATAGTCCCCGTGTAGATGGACGATGGGCGAAAGCAATAGCCTTGGCCGCTCTAGTCGAATAGCCCTTGGCTCCTAGGGCTTTTTGCAGATGTGCCAGGCGTGCAGGTAAAACTGAGCGGGACTTGGGTGTGGCAACGACTGTGTGGGTGGAGCAGCAGGTTGGACCACGCCGGCAGTTCTAGAGGGTTGTCTCTGGCGACGTTTCGGAGGTCGACAAACCAACTTCTGGCCGGCCACCAAGGCGCGACCAAAGTGTCAAGTGTCGAGTGGCCTGGATCTTTTGAAGAACCCTGGGAAGGAGAACCGGAGGCGGAAAAGCGTACGCGCTTAATCCCTCCCAGGGAACACTGAAGGCGTCGACTGCTACAGCGGCCGGATCCTGGACCGGCAGGATGTAAGTCGGCAGCTGGCAGTTCTGAGACGTGGCGAACAGATCGATGTTTGGAGTGGCGATCGTTTGACAAAGGATGGTGAAGATCTCTGGGTGGAGTTGCCATTCGGTGGGAGCCACCTTGACCGGCCTGGACAGAGCGTCTGCCAGAACATTCTTGCAACCTGGAATGTGCTGAACAAGGAATTGCAGGCCTAAGCGGTCCACCAGGTCGAAGAATCGGAAGGTCTGGTTGAGCAGAGACTGAGGAGAGTGGAGAGTACCCTGATTCCTCAGACACCACACCACGGTGATGTTGTCCGTGGAGATGGTCAACTGGGCGTGACGGAGAATGCTCTGCCAGTGGGAGACGGCCAGGATGAGAGCTTCGAGTTCGAGGTTGATGCTGTGCCAGTGGAGTCGATCTCCGGACCACAGCCCTGCAACTGTTTGAGTCCCCAGATGAGCCCCCCAACCCTGTTTGGATGCGTCGACGAACAGGTGGAGGGAGGGGTGTAGCACGGTCAAGGAGACGCCGCCGCAGACGTTCGATTCCACCGTCCACCATCGGAGGAAGGGGTGGAGGTGGACCGGGAGGACGATGAGGGACTCCGGATCCTGCAGCCGGATAAAGGGTGCGAGAAACCGTTGAATTGGACGGAGTTGGAGGCGACCTCTGGCAGTCAGGTCTTGAGCCGACGTGAGGAGACCCAATAGAACCTGCCATTGGCGGAGAGTTCGAGCCTGTTGGAGGGCAGGGAAGAGATGAGCGAGGATTTTCAACCACCTGTCTCTGGGGACTTGAAGGAGGTCCTGATCCATGAGAAACAGGCCCCCGATAAACTGCAGACAAAACGATGGGGTCAGCTCCGACTTCGTCTGATTCACGATCCAACCCAACTGATTGAAGAGCCGCAGGGTAAAATCCCTGTGACGCAGTAGCAACGCCGAGTCCCGATTGTTGAGGAGACAATCGTCGATGTATGGATCGAAGTTGATGTTCCTCAGGTGCAGGTAGGCGACGACCGGTCGGGTGATCCGTGTGAAAAGCCACGGGGCCGTTGAAATTCCAAATGGTAGGACCGCCCATTGGTAATGGGTACCATTGAAAAAGAACCTGTGGAAGCGCCGGTCGTTGGGGTGGATGGGTACATGAAGATAGGCGTCCTGGATGTCGAGGCTGATCAGGGAATCGCCAGCTGAGATTCTCGTCCTGAGCAGTCGCAACGTCGTCATTCGGAAGTAGGGAGGACATTCCAGGTAGCGCCGGTTGAAAGTGGAGAGATTGTGTATCATGCGCCAGCTGGTGGTCCCCTTCTTGGGAACCAGAAACACCGGAGAGTAAAATCCTGGGTGTCGAGGCCGGGTCGTGTACGATCTCTATGGCCTCCTTCTGCAGTAGGGAAACGATGCTGTCGTGAAGGGGCCGAAGTTAGTGGGGTGAATAAGCGGCTGTTGTCGGAGTAGACGTCAGAGGAGGAAGTGCAGCCAATGGGAGCCGGTACCCCTAATGGAGGACGTTTGTGACGAACGGGTCCTCCAGTATCGACCAGTTTCTCCAAAACCGGCCTAGTCTCCCACCCACAGGTGTGTCGGTGACCGGAACGGCTTGGGGTGGGAGGTCCCAGTTGTTGGGGTCCCGCCGGTCAACGCTTTGAGGTGGAATCGCGTCCTTGCCGGGGCGACGATCCCTTCGGGGCTGGTAGGTGCCACGGGATCTACCAAGACCACGCCCTGTCTGGCCACGAAAGGGCGAGGGATGTTTGGAGACGACCTTGAGGGAGGAACGGCGTGGTTTGTAGTTGCCTTTGGAGGACTTGGCCGTTGATTGGTGCGTGACATGCTCCAAGGCTCTGAGAGCCGTTTCATCCCTGGCGAAGCTGGAGACTCGGGCGTGGGTAGCAGAGATAGCACCATTAAAAAGGGTAGGACCCGACCAAGGTTGTCGTAGTAAGGAACGCTTGAATTCGGAATCCCAGTCCGCGGAAGTCAAGTAACCCAACCGAGAGCAGCTCTCAGATGATTGCGCAAGTGATCAATCTGGCGAAGTTGGAATGTCATAACCGTGCGTAGGTGGTCGACCCTGTTAGGATTGGATTCTGCGAGATCCTGGTCAATGGCTCTGGCAGACGAGGCAAGAGTAGATAGTGGCTTCAAAGAACGCCGCAGTTCCGTTTCCACGAAAGCGAGTCGGGAGTCCGGCATACGTATGGTGACATATTGGGAAGACCCGGTCATTCGATGTAAGTCCTCGTCAAGGATGTGCACACCGTCGGTCACGTCGAAGGAGTGGACAGGGAAATCATCCCGCCGGAAACGAGGAGCCTTGAACGACGACGTGAGGGACAACTTAGCGAAGTCCTCGTCCAACGCCGTAACAAGGTCTGTCAGCATTGGGTCGGGTGGTAGAGAAGTCGGATTTGACCAAGTGTCGACTTTTTGTCGACATCGGAGCCCGGGGAGGGAGCGACGGAGGACAAACTGTGCGCCAGCCAATCAGCAACCTGTGATAGGCCCAAGTGTGTATCAATCTCGGGAGATGGAGGGTCATAATCGGGTCGAAATGATCCTTCCGAGGAGGAGGAACGACGTCATCATCGATGTACGGGTGAGCGACGACGGGAACGAGCTGACTTGGACGAGTGCCGAGAAGCAGTCGGAGCCGACGAGGTGTACGATGATCGAGACAGATGAGCACCCGATGTGGAGGAGGCCGCAGGAATCGAAGAAACAGTAGTCGGGGCTGTCAGCGTCGCCGGCGTCGCAGGAGGCACCGTGACTGCATCCAAGCTTGCATCCAAGATGGATCCATAAACGATGACGGAAGGGCATGTCCATAAGTAGGAGGCGCAACACAAGTCAAAGGCGCTGAAGTAGTCAGAGGCATCGGATACATCGGAGGTGCCAGAGACATCAGGGGCGCCGGATACATCGAAGACATTAGAGGCGCCGGATACCTCGGAGGCGCCGGAGGTAGAGGCGCCGGAGTTGTCGACGTAGATGGTAGAGGTGACAGGAAACCCGAAACGGGCCATGCTGCAGACAATGAGGTCAAAGCAGGCGACGGTAAGGGTGGTGTAGGAGACCGTGTACGGTCGTATGTCGTGCCATGGGAGGCAGACTCTACGTTGGATGGCATGTTGGAGTGTCGACGCACACGTTGAGTGAAGGGTTTCCGAGACACTCGTAGGTAGGCGGTGAAGGAGACTGGCAACAGGGGACTACAATATCTGCACCGCTCTGTGAGGATACACGGGGTTGTACAGTCCAGGCAGCAGGGGTGGGGGTCCCGTCCAGATTTATTCCCGCAGCAGCGAGAGCAGCGAGACATACTGGAATTGAAGCAAAAGCATAACGATGTGTAAACACACAACGTGAAACATAATGTGACTCAACATAACTTATTCTTGTTACAAAGTTAATAAGAGCAAACAATTACGCTTCAAAAACGCCCAAAACAACCATTAAACTTAATGTAAAACTCCAACCACAGAGCGAATTCAAGACACAAAACACGAAAGTAAGTGGACACGTAGTGAATCGCAAAAGGGCGGGAAAAAATGGCGGGAAACAACAATACGCTCGGAAATACCGTGATGAGAGCCACAACCCGAGCGAGAAACGTTACCAATTAACAATATAATGAAGGCAAAGGTAACAAACCAAATACAAGAAACAACACAGCAGACTTTTGTCGTAGTAAACGATAAAAAGTCAGGACCAATAAAGCTTTAATAATTCCACTGAGGGATACAGTATACGTCCGATCCATGTGGTTGACAAAGCAGTTATGTGTTTTGACATGACGTCATGTCTTCCGGGTCACGTGCCGACTGTGTGGGAGGGGGCGCTGCTTCCTGGACAGATGGAAACAACTTTCTTCAGCAGTTTGATCTCACACAGTTCGTCTCTCTGTCAAAGACAGCAGTAAATGCAATACGGAGTAATGCAGGATAAGTTAAAAAATTATTAAAATAAAAAGACATTGGCCTCGCTTTCTCCCATTTTTTGCAAGTAAACTTTATCAGAAAACAAAACTATATAAGTGTTTCTACAAGCAGATACATGTGTTAGTGCATATGTATGATATAAGCAGGATTCAGTCCACCTACTGTATACTTTGCATGTCATTCCCATTATCAAGCTTGTTGTCTGAAATATCACAAAACCCATGCACGAACAAATACACATCTGTAGCCTTGAACATAAATACAAGTCACAGATTCTCTCTTTCTCCAGGGCTAACATTTTAGTAAACCTACACTCACACCTGGGCCCATTCCTGTGGTTCTCGCAATCTCAAATTACCCGGCCTTTATTTCCTTGAGCCAAAATGTTTGGCTACGCTGCTAGGTCTAACGTACCAATCAGAATGCGAGTTACAAACCAGCCTAAATGTTGGTTTGGCGATATCAACAACATAGCGGCCAGTCCCACTGATTACGATAGTGTTTGCGAGTAATTCAATGTTGAAAAACTCGCTGACTGTTGACAGACATGCAAAAGAACGCCCTGATCTCCACGTTTGATTGGTCTGTAAAGTGTTTATGAAAATCAAGGGCAGGTAATTTAAGATTGCGGGGATCGGTCCAGGGGTTAGTGTAGGTTTACTGAAATGCGAGCCCTGGACAAACAAACAAGACTGTTGCAATCAGGTGTAACATTTTTACACATTGGCTGGTATATATCAAACTGTTATCACCAATAGGAGGTCAAACTGAAACAACGTTTTTCTTTGTTGCATGTTTGTTACAAAATATTCAGTAATTAACGCTTAGAAAAATAAAAGAATTGGTTCTCAGGCAATGACTTTTGAAAATATAGTGCAGGCGGGAGGCGGGTTTTTTTTTGCTTGTTCAAGCTAATATGTAACCAAATAAACAGTTGTGTACCACCAACCTGGGAAAAGGCCTCCATAAAAGCAGTGCACATGTAAAGGGAAGTAACTATGCTATATTGGATCGCATTGTTTTTAAGTATTAGGATTTTTAAAATTTATTTTGAAAATGGAAATAAAACCAAAACGTGCAGCAGACTTTATGATGATGTGAGTGGTGCCTGAGAACCAAGGCTATTAATTTTTTTAGCCCAAGTAAGTCTTGTGTCAAAACCTGTAGAGTTGTCTTATGTGGGTTTTATTTCAATGTCACATACTTGTTTCCAACACTGCAGATGGAGTCATTGTTGCTGCTGACACAGGCTGTGGAGGAGTTGCTGTTGAAGTGGGCAAAACCAACAAAGGACTGAAAGAATGAGTTAAAATTTAAAGTGGCATCAGCAGAATTTCAGCAATATCTCTGAAAGGATAAAACAGATATCATCACATGATTTCATCTCAGGAAAATCAATTATATACGTAACAGTCTGAAAACACAAAGTGAACGTCTTAACTACGAGGCTACCCCATTGCTCCATTATTTTAGGTACGAAGCATTACAAAAGTGAACAAGCACGAAATAATCATATCCCCCGCCAATATGACATATCCGGTTGTGTGCAAGGCAAGAAATATTGTACGGTTTCCAAGATCAGCTCCAGAAAAAAGCACTACCGCCATTTTCAGTCTAAGTGTGTGGCGTTGCTATGGAAATTCCAAAAATAAACTTTTAAAAAAAAAAAAATTATCAAAAGGCACCAGTTCACCAATCTCTCATGGCTTCTGAATTCTGCTTCAGAAACGAAACGTGACGGAAGTGAAGTCATCATCTCCAGCCTTTCTATTTCAAACTAAACCCTAAATTCCTCTTGCTCATGACAGAATTTGACTGGACAGTCACTTTTAGCATTGTGACATGTGAATCGGGCCTGAAACAAAGCTGTGATGGTGAATGAGGCCAGGGTGATTACAGTTTGTTGTTTAACCCCACAACTGCCAATTTTACAGTTAAATGATGGTTGCCAGTAAATAATCAAGTCTGAACCAGATAATCAAGTGATACTGTGAGCAACGAGCCATGTTCTTGGGGTATGATGACACAACCATCATTCAAATCCCCAAGCCGAAAAGTCCATTAAAAATTGCCTCCCAGGACCAGTATAGATTGCTCACCAGGGGATCAATTCTAACCTGGAATCTAAACGGTATTTATGGTAACTGAGCTTGACTGCTTACGCTGCAGTGGATGATGATGTTGAGCGTAGGACACACTTGTCCAGTCCGTCATCCTTGGGATTGTGGTAATTCTCTGGGCAGGGGAGACACCGACTGGAACTGACACCGACTGTGGACAAGAAACACAACAATTTGGGACAGATTTACATCCATAAAACAAACATGCTATCTGTGTTGTCTTCAGGCTGCAAAACAAATTTGTCAAGTGGATTATTTTGTAAAATCCATAAGAAGTTAACCATTTCTTCCCAAACCATTATTTATTTCAATTCTATTTCTGGGATAATGAAAATTCTTAATCAAACTGTCAGTATTATATTTGCTCAATAGTTTCAAAGAAGGAGTAAAGATCTGAATTCTGTCCAAACAAAATAGAAGTTTGAATTTGATGCAATGTTAGAGATGAGATTTTAGTGCTCGCTACCGCTAAACAAAGATCTGATGACATCCAATTGTGGGTCGCATCACAACCATCTTTTCATTTGACCAATCAGAGCGTCGCTTAACAGATCGGGCAAGTGACAGTTGGAATGTGTTATCTTGTCATGGAACCTCGTAAAGTTTAACATGGGGTATCCCGAACGACAGTTATGGGCTGTACAACTGATTCTATATCTTGCTTCAATGGGAAAATTTCGAAAGGAAGAGACTTTTCATAGCCCATGGCAAGTACTGCCATACAATCATGGACTACTAAAGCTTGAGAAAGCTGCTTTCTCATTGGCTGATATCGACTTCTTGTCAGTCATTTCAATGATCAGTCAAAGTTTGCGAAAGGTTGTTCTGACTTGATCTGTCCTCTTTGTTCAGCGGTAGCAAGCACTAAGTTCTGCTTTTAATAAGATTGAATTTGGTGCTGTTCTTGGTCCTTGACATCCTCCTAAACTTTCAGGATCATTATAGTAACCTTCCCATGGTTCATAGAAGAGTGAGTGAGTGAGTTGGGTTTAACGCCGCTTTTAACAGTATTCCAGTTATATCCCGGCGTGTCAGCTTAATGTGGGAGGAAAGCCCGAAGTGATGCCGGTCTCGGACGATAACCACATTGGTGAAACCCACGAGCACGGGTATGGTGCTGACAAACCTAGAAACATAATCAGGGCGAACCGGGATTCGAACCCACAATCATAGGTTTCTGGCATACCCAAGGGACGCAACTATGCACAGTGAATCGCGGCACCTAAGACGACTGGGCCATTCGTGCCCCCGGTTCAGAGAAGAAGTCCAAAATTAACTGCAGGACAACACAGACAGACAATCTGCTGAGACAAAAGACCACACACCACAGAACAAGCTTGGACTTTGAGGCCCGGTCATCAAGCTGAAAACTGGACACACTCCACTAATCAAAAGTCTTACCCAACTCATGAGAACTGCTCTGGTCACATGCCTGGTCATACGACTGACACTGCAGGGGGTTAGCTCCAGTGAAACCTGCACTCTCATTACAGAGGCAACTTATCGTGCATCCCCCATCAGGATCGTCGATCACCTGGACAACATTATCTGGAAAGAAGAACTGCCATGGTCAGTATCATGGAGCCATGTCAGCTGGATGTATCATGGAGCCATGTCAGCTAGATGTATCATGGAGCCATGCCAGCTGGATGTATCATGGAGCCATGCCAGCTAGATGTATCATGGAGCCATGTCAGCTGGATGTATCATGGAGCCATGTCAGCTGGATGTATCATGGAGCGATGCCAGCTGGATGTATCATGGAGCCATGCCAGCTGGATGTATCATGGAGCGATGCCAGCTGGATGTATCATGGAGCCATGCCAGCTGGATGTATCATGGAGCCATGCCAGCTAGATGTATCATGGAGCCATGCCAGCTGGATGTATCATGGAGCCATGTCAGCTAGATGTATCATGGAGCCATGCCAGCTGGATGTATCATGGAGCCATGTCAGCTGGATGTATCATGGAGCCATGTCAGCTGGATGTATCATGGAGCCATGTCAGCTGGATGTATCATGAAGCCATGTCAGCTGGATGTATCATGGAGCCATGTCAGCTGGATGTATCATGGAGCCATGTCAGCTGGATGTATCATGGAGCCATGTCAGCTGGATGTATCATGGAGCCATGTCAGCTGGATGTATCATGGAGCCATGCCAGCTGGATGTATCATGGAGCCATGCCAGCTGGATGTATCATGGAGCCATGTCAGCTAGATGTATCATGGTGCCATGCCAGCTAGATGTATCATGGAGCCATGCCAGCTGGATGTATCATGGAGCCATGCCAGCTGGATGTATCATGGAGCCATGCCAGCTGGATGTATCATGGAGCCATGCCAGCTGGATGTATCATGGAGCCATGCCAGCTGGATGTATCATGGAGCCATGTCAGCTGGATGTATCATGGAGCCATGTCAGCTAGATGTATCATGGAGCCATGTCAGCTAGATGTATCATGGAGCCATGTCAACTAGATGTATCATGGAGCCATGTCAGCTAGATGTATCATGGAGCCATGTCAGCTAGATGTATCATGGAGCCATGTCAGCTAGATGTATCATGGAGCCATGTCAGCTAGATGTATCATGGAGCCATGCCAGCTGGATGTATCATGGAGCCATGTCAGCTAGATGTTTCATGGAGCCATGTCAGCTAGACGTGTCATGGAGCCATGTCAGCTGGATGTACCATGGAGCCATGCAAGCAAGATGTATCATAGAGCCATGTCAGCTGGACAGGGGAGAAACCTATAGCAAAGCAAATCATAGATTTTTACCCTGTTGAGAAACCAACGAGCACGAGTATGATGCTGACTGCATTGTGATGATAATCATCATATTGTTTAACGCTGCACTCAGCAATATTCCAGCTACATAACGGCGATCTGTAAATGTTGGAGTCTGGACCAGACAATCCAGTGATTGGCATCATGAGCATCGATCCACGCAATTGGGATACGATGACATGCATCAACGAAGTCCATCCTGTTAGTCGCCTCTTACAACAAGCATGAATTGCTGAAGATCAATTCTAACCCGGAATCTTCACAGGTCAAAATCATCATATTGAATCTGTCTGACTGAAGTCTTGGCACCTTGATGAGGTGTCTTAGACTTATATCAGACTATCTAAAAACAAAAATTCTATGACACCAGGTGAAATACATGCAAACAGAAACACTCTTGCACCATTTCAACATTGACACAGAGAATTCTTGGATCCAACCTTGTAATGCTACGGTCATTGATGATGTTCTTCATAAAACCCAAAGTCTTGACAAAAGTTATCAAAAGATCATTTCTACATCATTGAAGTCAGTGACCAAGTGAATGTTATTCTAAACTGCAGTCAGTAATATCCCCACTATATCATGGCGGCCTGGAAATCAGAGAGTCTGGGTTAGGCAAACCAGTGACTGGAGACATGAGCAGAGATACATGTCATCGGGCATGTCACAAAATTAAAAACTTCAACTGGTTGAAGGTTTACCGGGAATCAATTTAAGGTGGGAATCGAAATGGAAGTAAGATTGAAGACAGATACAAAACGCCAAAAGGTAAACATAGCAACTTTTACTTCCACTGGGTGGTAATGTCGCCTGGTGCTTTTAAAGTGTTCGCACATCACACCAAAGCCCAATTACAAGTGTCTCCCACAGTGATATTGCTGAAATGCTGCTGAAATGCTGCTGAAATACTGCTGAAATAAGTGGCCAAAAACCCACCTCACTCACTCACTCACCTCCATCAGCAGAACAAGTGTCTCTGGGATCGTAACACTTCGATGGGAAGGCTGATGTTGTGGCATCACACATGCGTAGTCCTGGAGCACAAGGAACACACTTGTCCTTGGTCCCCCTTGTCGTACATGGGGCTATTTCATGGTCTTAAATAAATACAACATAGATTAGGGGAAGGAGGAGAGACATTTGGGACAAATATTGCCAGTTAAAAATGTTTGGGCATCTTCCCAAGGCAAGGGAGTTAAATGACATAAAAGTCCAGTTTCAACTATGTCGAACTTGGCTGGAATTACGGAGGCTGCACTAACGAGTCTATGAATAGTCAATCACAATGGTGCAGCGAAGTAGACATCCGGTTCATCAGAGACCATATAATACTAAATAGATTATTATATGGTCTCTGGGTTCATAAACAACATGGATTCCAAAGCGCATATTTTGAACGACTGCAGAATTTGCAAAGTATGTGCCCCGCCAACTGAGCGTCGACAGATATTTTCCAAATCTTTTCACGTTTTTGATCAAGGTGCTCACATGACTTAATGCACTTCACGCAGTAAGACCTGTATTATTACAATATAGATCTTGTTTATCGATCAGATCGTCTTGACTGGGCACCGCCATTTGGTTTGAAGCAAATGCAAGTGGTCTGAGAAGTGGAATCTGATTGGTAAATAGAAAGGACAACTCTTAATGGCCCCTGGTGGCCCAGAATTTCCAGCCTTGTTCGGCAAGGGTGGAAACTGGACTTCAGACTTTACTGTGTGAAATATGCTCAGAGCTCCAGATAAGCTGCGTATCTGCGTGAAATACGCATCAGAAATGCAGAAATACACAGTAAAATATAATCCAAGCGTATCAAATACGCAACGAACATTACAGATACGCTACAAAAATAAAACTTGTGCGTATTATCAAAATATTGTGAAGTAACCCTGCGTATTCGATTAGCAAATCAGCAACTTATTTTGAAATTATAAACGGACATTCCGTCAACCTTGCCAGTTACATCATGATCATTTGCCATCACACTTTCTTGAGGAAGTATCGTTGTATATTTGAGTCCTATAAAGCTCTCGAACCCACACGACACCAGTTTGCAGGGACTAGATGAATAGTGTTTTTAAATATTTAACTTAAATACCCACATGTGTAAAAACTAGTGGGTAACAGAAATTTGAATACGCAGATAGAATTACTGATACCCAATGATTTTAAAATGCATGGGTAAAATACCCACAACACCAAAAGCTTATCTGGAGCTCTGTATGCTCCTGTTCATCCAGCAGTAAACAGGTGACCTAACCTTTCAGTGCCTCATAAGGCAGCTTGGGTTGTATGATCACCAGGGACCTGAGGGTGAAATTCATGACACACTGATCTATTGACTGAGTTAATAATGCAAGGCTCTCTGCATTGTGAATGTGGCCCACATACTGTGCCTTGTCCCACATACGAGTGAGTGGAGGTTGTACAGGCACTGAGTGTTGTTACACAAGTTAGCGCAATCCTTTGATTGAGAGTCTTGTGTGTTCATTACAACTACTTTTCTTCACCTGACATATTCACGACATAGTTCAGCAGTGTTTTGCTTGTACTTAAAACGTGTCACTTTATTAATGTGAGCAAGGGGCAATTGTATTTTTCACATTATTCCATGAGATACAGTATTTAATTTAGTTTACAATGTTATTTATAAAAAACAAATTTGATGATCAGATTAAGTTCAACTGACCTGGGGGGCATGGGTCGTCGTCCGTTCTTGGCAGACAACTGAGAGGAACCTAAAACGCAAAAACATTTTCCAGCAAATTCCAGATATTGCCATGATTCCAGTTTAGAAATAGTGCAGGGTTATAATGAGAAGTAGCAGTAGCGCAGACAACACAACATAGACATGATATACAGATAATGCTGACACAAATTCTCTCTCTCTCTAATTGTAATAAAGAAGTTGTTCATCTATATATCTTATCCTTACTTAGTTCGATTGTTTGTTGTTTAAAGCCACACTGAGCAATATTCCAGCAATATGGACCAGACAATCCAGTGATTGACATCATGAGCATCCATCGATGAAATTGGGAAAATGACACCCAATCCCGTTAGTTGCCTCTTACGACAAGCATAGTCACCTTTTACAGCAAGCATGGGTTGCCGAAGACCTATTCTACCCTGGGTCTTCACAGGTCTGCAATGAGGTGAGGTGAAATGGGGTTTAACATCACATTCCAGATTATTGAACAGCTGTGCATGTGTGGTTGCTTGTACTAGCCCCACTCATTCTAAGCCGACCAGTCTTTGTTTTGTCCCTTAATGCTAATCACCAGGCAGAGGAACAAGCACCATCTTTTAACATCTTTTGGTTTCATGTGGCCACCTTCCACTCTCTGAGCACACGCTTTATCCACTAGACCACGGAAGTCATCGATAAAGTCGAACACAAGGATATAAACATGATTGACAAAAGAGTAAGGGATCATGAATATATTTATGTAGAGAAGGCTGAGCACGCAATTCATAAAAATATCCCCCAAAGTATCCATGATCCCTAACATTGTTGTACGGAATATGATTATCACATGCTGTGTTTGAAATAAATACAAGCCAGGCTGGCATCAGGACTCACAGACTTTTGAGGGTGCAGGCCCTGACTAAACTCTTCAGGCCCTGACTAAACTCTCCAGGCCCTGCATGACTAAACTGTCCAGGCCCTGACTAAACTCTTCAGGCCCTGACTAAACTCTCCAGGCCCTGCATGACTAAACTAAACCAGGCTTTGACTAAACTCTCCAGGCACTGACTAAACTCTCCAGGCCTTGACTAAACTCTTCAGGCCCTGACTAAACTCTTCAGGCCCTGACTAAACTCTCCAGGCCCTGCATGACTAAACTCACCAGGCCTTGACTAAACTCTCCAGGCCCTGACTAAACTCTCCAGGCCCTGACAAAACTCTCCAGGCCCTTATTCAACTTTTCTGGCCCTCATTTAAACAACTGTAGCTTATTGTGACATGTAAATCGACACGTAAATTTACCGCAGGCCACAAGGACCTACACAAATTGGAAACTTCTCACTGACACGAGATCTCCCTACCACGGGCATCCGAGCAGGTGCTTATTTCGAACACTGATTACATGGAGCTGCATACTTACACTGTCAACTGCCGAAGTATATATGATGACCCCACATATCACTACTAATAGAAGCAAATTTGGCATAGTGGCGGACGTTCCCCTTGTTTCCACTGCGAGAGTAAGGGAACATGTCTTTATCGCAGTCATTCATCCATAGGCAATAATCTGTAACAGAAACAAATTAAAATCAAGCCACAGAAAAATCACATACTGACTCAACAGAAGGAAACAGTTCTTGGTTGGGTTTGGTATAGCTCGTCTAAATACACTCGATTAATATGGAAGTGCTCGCCCAAACACACCTGTTGCGCATGTTTTTTTTGTGGTAAATCTCGTGCGTGTCATGCTCTGATGTGACAGACCTCTACGTTGAACGGAGTAACATGTTTTTAGTTGACATTTATTCGTTGTGGGACAAAGACGTCCTCAGAGCTCCAGTCAGGAGACTGCTTTTGCTAATATTAGAATGAACTTCCATTATCAACTTTATAACAGAAAGTGGTCAATTATTCACTTTCGATGAATATATAGAAACAATTCATTTTGGGGGGAATTGGTCAGTGTGGCAAGGAAGGTTTGTGTTTCTGTCTTTAGTCTAATCAAAATGTCCGACATGATATTTTTGAATTGTTGTTAACTTAACGGGGAATAAAATGTGCTTCATTCCCACTGACACTGCCCACAGAGGCCTTGCCACCACCACATTGTTAACTGTGTTGCAGAGCTCCAGATAAGCTGCGTATCTGCGTGAAATACGCATCAGAAATGCAGAAATACGCAGTAAAATATAATCCAAGCGTATCAAATACGCAACAAACATTACAGATACGCTACAAAAATAAAACTTGTGCGTATCATCAAAATATTGTGAAGTAACCCTGCGTATTCGATTAGCAAATGAGCAACTTATTTTGAAATTATAAGTTGGCATTCCGTCAACCTTGCCAAACTCCACGATGACAGTCAGATCATGATCATTTGCCATCACACTTTCTTGTGGAAGTATCGTGGTATTTTTTAGTCCGATAAAGCTCTCGAACCCACACGACACCAGTTTGCAGGGACTAGATGAATAGTGTTTTAAATATTTAACTTAAATACCCACATGTGTAAAAACTAGTGGGTAACAGAAATTTGAATATGCAGATAGAATTACTGATACCCAATGATTTTAAAATGCATGGGTAAAATACCCACAACACCAAAAGCTTATCTGGAGCTCTGGTGTGGAGTTATGTGGTCTCCTGCATGTTACAAATCAGGTAAAGGAAAGCCAGTGATCATTGTACCAGCAGGCTTAACTCCCGAGTGTTTCCAGGATTCTGATCCTCCCACATTAGTGAGTGAGTCAGTGAGCGAGTTGGGCTAAACGCCGGTTTTAACAGTATTCCAGTTATATCACGGCATGTCAGCTTAATGTGGGAGGAAAGCTCGAAGTGATGCAGGTCTCAGACATTTACCACTTCAGTGAAAATAGGCACGGGTATGGTGCTGACAAACCTAGAAACATCATCAGGGCAAACAGGATTCAAACCCGCAATTCATATCTCCGGAGTTGCCAAAACTTGTAAATGCCTCAGCTTCGTCACAGTTAGACACTGATTTCGGTACAGTAGACTATCATTTTGATAATGACAGCAATTATCCCAGTAATTTCTCCAGATTTCTGATGGTTAATTCTGACTCTATCGCCGAATAACAAGGGCAATGCCATGTTGGTTTGTAAACACTGAAAGTTGTTTGACCTTTGATATTTGTATCAGCAATGGATATCGTTTTTATCTGTTGGCTTTTTCCTGCTGGGTAACCTACCCATCATCATCTTCCAGAGGCAAGGGAGTTAACTGACTATAAAAGTCCAGTTTCCACCCTTGCCGAACTAGGCTGGTATTATGGAGTTACATTTTGGCTGGACTAACGAGTCTATGCATAGTCCAATCAAAATCGCGCACCGAAATCGAAATCCGGTTCGTAAAGTGTCATGCAGATTTCGGTCGACTGCAGGATTTGCAAAGCATGTGCACCGCTAACTCGTTGTCAACAGATATTTTCTAAATCTTTTCAGGTTTTTAATCAAGGTGATCACATGTTTTGATGCACTTCGCGTTGTATGACTCGTTTTATCACAATATAGATCTTCATTATCGATCAGACCGTCTTGACTGGGCGCCACCATTTTGTTTGAAGCAAATGCAAGTGATACGAGAGGTTGAAACTGATTGGTCAATAGGAGAGGCATAGAAAGGACTTAACTCGTAACAGCCACTGGAATTCCAGCCTAGTTCAGCAAAGGGTGGAAACTGGACTATTAAAGTCAGTTAACTCTCTTGCCTCGGGAAGATGACCCATCATATGACAAAGCATGTTTATCTACCATAACTAAATAAGACGCAAACGCTTAGTGTTTGCAAATATATTGAGTGAAGCGGCATTGGTTGAGTCCAGTGTTTTGAGTAAGTTGTCAATCAGAATTACGGAATCACTGACTACAGCCTGTATATGGCACTGTATATGCTCAAGCAGTCTGTCCACACATATGACAGGCATTGAAAGTATATATGTATGGCAACTTGGCAAACTAACATGAGGTGGGCTCCCCAAAAGAAAACAAAGCAAGTGACCGCCTGCATGGTCTAGTGGTAGAGCATCCGCCCGGCATCAGCCCGGACTGGCACACACACACACACACACACACACACACACACACACATCGCTATATAAGTGCAATAATCTTCGATGCGACGTTAAACCCAATTTCACCTCACCTCACTAAACAAGCCTTGCAAAGTTTCGCTCTACTGTAACCTTGGTTCCACAGATGATGTAGCTCTCTTCTAAATAAAGTACAAGTAGGGCGGTCGGGTAGCCTAGTGGTTAAAGCGTTCGCTCGTCACGCCGAAGATCCTGGTTCGATTCCCGACATGGGTACAATGTGTGAAGCCAATTTTTGGTGTCCCCCACCTTGATATTGCTGGAATATTGCTAAAAGTGGCATGAAACCATACTCACTCACTCACACACAAGTCAGCGTTGTCACTCACAGTCCATCCTCTGGAGAGAGGATTTTGGTAATTACACACTCTATGCCCTCAGATGGTTTTCTGTAGCCTGACTTATTTATGCACAACACTTATCTCGGGGATGTATAGAAGAGTCTGATCTGGACTTCCAATATACAGGAGAATCCCCGCACCACTTCTAGACGACTAACAAAATACTATCAATGACAATTTCAGCTCCTAGCTCCCACAGAAATAATGTTCAACATCATACGAAGTGAGTCATAAGCTTATCTCAATAAAACCAAATTTCCATTCCCTCGCATGGAAGTTTCCGTCATTCAGTTTGTGCTTTCAAACTCTTGTCTAAAATATATTGGTTAACAATCCGAGTTAGTTAGAGATAGGATGAAAAATGAATACTATACTCAGTGCCGTAGCCAGCTGGTTTTTTTAGTGTTTTTTTTTTTTTTTATAGAAAACAGTTATATTTGAATCAAGTTGGGGACAAGTGATACTTGTACACATATCATGACCGACCAATCGGATTTATGTTAAAAGGTAATAAATTATGGCTAACCCTTTGGACCGGAAAGGGATGTTGGATCGTAAAGACGTGTAAGTTTCCCTCAGACCGAAAACGGGTTCTGGATCGTAAAGACGTGTAACTTTCCCTAAGACCGAAAACGGGTGTTGGATCGTGAAGCGAGAGTCACCAGAGCTTGAGGCACGGTAACGGTATAGCGAGACAGCGCTAGCACAATAGCGCGGTAATTGACTGAATGGTAGAGCTCGGGCTGTGCCCGGTAAACTGCGTTGTTGCCCTAAGTTCTAACATCGAACAGTTTCAACAATCAGTATTAAAAGAAAAACACATGACATGAATGATTTAATCACTAGTGATTTAAGCGATGATCTTTCGCATCTACAGTGCGCCTGTCACTGTCATTGTCATTGTCACTAAGAGTGAGACGCCATTTGTAACTTGTTTACTGACGCACAACAACAAGTGTCAACTGCGGAGTTATGTAACGTTGAGCAATAACGGACAAGAACTGGTAACAGTCGCAGCATTATCATGAACGGTCACGTTAATCCGTCGTAATAGAACTAAATATTACATAATATACCTGTGGTACCCGTGATTAAAGTCCGTAATTATCCGAAAGTCTTTCTCCTGAATCGCGTGACTCGGCGACATATATATATATATATATATATATATGCACCCGGATGTATTACGTCATTGCCAAACACGGGTACATGAACCCCTTCACGTCACAGGAACTCGTTATTGGTCAGTAAATAAAAAATATATACCCCCTTTTTGTAAGTTCTCTACTTACATATAGGGGTATATATTTTTATTTACAATGACAGTGGAGAACTTACAAAAAGGGGGTATATATTTCTTATTTACTGACCAATAACGAGTTCCCGTGCTTCACGTGCTCATCAATGGAACACACAAGTAGTTATTGAAGACGAAAGACTCACAGTATTCTTTTATGCTGATGTTTGTTTCCATGTTGTGTTTTTGATAACGATTGAAAATTTCAAGGAAAGTGAAAACTCGACAAAGACAATGTAGGCCTACTCTTCATTACATGTTTACTTATGTTTTATATCGTCGTCTTTTCCGTGAACCTAGAGACAATCAGAGATTCCAACCCACAGATATCATAAGTAAGGGAGGTGAGGTGAAATGGGGTTTAACGTCGCGTCCAAGATTATTGCACTTATATAGCGACGTGCATGCACGTGTGTGTGTGTGAGTGTGTGTGTGTGTGTGTGTGTGTGTGGCTCCTTGTACTACAAACGTAGTCCGGACTGATGCTGATTTATAGTGCTAGCTCACTGAGATACCATGCCGCAGTTTAACATGAATACCCCACTCAGACACAGTTTACTGACTCCGAGCTGACCAGTCCTTGTTTTAGCCCCTTAATGCCCAGCGCCAGACAGGGCAACAACAAGTACCATCTTTTAAAGTCTTTTGGTATGGCGCGGTCGGGGATCGAACCCCGGACCTTCCGCTGTCCGGGCGGACGCTCTACCACTAGACCACGGAGGCGGTCCTGCAACATTTGTGCGCAGCTATTGTGTCTTAATATCATCACAGTATCCATTCATGAGGGGAACATTATCCGTGATAAGAGTTTGGAGTAGATTATTCTAAATATTACTCACTGACATTTTAAGAGAGAAAAGAAAGAAAAATGTTTGAAATGTCAGCCCTTCGCGCAAACTTCACAGAAGACAGCCTCAGCTCAGAAGGCGTCATGTAATCATTTTGTGACGTCATGAACAACGTATGACATCATATCGTATATTTCTCAAAAATGAAACGTGTTATAGCTTCAATTGTTCAATCAGCACTGAGATTCTCTAAAATACACATGTGCGAATAAAGGAAAGTTATAACACGCGCTCCTTCTACCCTTGTGGGTAATATTCCATGTTATTACACAGTATTTATAAACGTCTCGTGCTTACTTCTATCTTTTTGATTCATTGTCTATTGGGATCATGCGACGACATTTTATGTTTGTTTGTTGTTTGTTTGTTGTTTAACCCCGCACTCAGCAATATCCCAGCTGTATGACGACGGTCTGTGATACGGTGACATGCATCTTCACGGGAGGACATTTTTTATGTCACACAAACAGACCTACCGGAAATATCCTAAACGCCTGATGCCTTGTTGAAAATATGATCAATCTTTCAGAATATCATTGTTGCACAGCGAATATAAGAGTTACCGATGTATCAAAAAGCATATGTGCAAAAACCTTTATCACATAAGATCAAACCTTTGACGTGACAATATATTATTTTATATAATGGCAAGTGAGTGAGTATGGTTTTACGCCGCTTTTAGCAATATTCCAGCAACATCACGGCCCAGAAATGGGCTTCACACATTGTACCCATGTCGGGAATCGAACCCGGGTCTTCAGCGTGACGAGCGAACGCTTTAACCACTAGGCTAGCCGACCGACCGCCCCGACAATCACAATATATTATTTTATATAATGGCAAGTAATGTGCAGACGACATGACGTATATTTTAAGATTTATGGATCTAAACTTACTTATTTTACTTAATTTACTTAATTTTGTGTGTCTCACCTCCAAATTTTTCCCAGAGGAGTGCGGGCGGGCGAAAATAGAAAACATGGTTCCATATTGCAGAATACGCTAAATATTTGACAATTTAAACAAATGGTTAAAACTGCTCACATGTGTCACGCAAATTCCATAACTATTTCATTTTATTAGTATTGATTAAACTGGAAAAGAAACATGAATAAGAATGTCTTGAATCCGAGACAGAAGATGGAAGCACGCACTGGTGATTATTTTTAATTGTGGTAACTCCCCGGTAAGTTTTGTCTACCCTATCGATTTCTTACATATTTATATGAAGTATGAAATGACAAAATATACGTACGAATAGATGGAATCAAAGTAAACGTTACTAAAATGGCCCACTGCAAATGAACCAGGTATATACATGTATAGGTTGATGAAGTGAGTGAGTTGGGTTTAACGCCGCTTTTAACAGTATTCCAGTTATATCGCGGCGTGTCAGCTTAATGTGGGAGGAAAGCCCGAAGTGATGCAGGTCTAAGACTTTTACCACTTCGGTGAAACCCACGAGCACGGGTATGGTGCTGACAAACCTAGAAACATAATCGGGGCGAACCGGGATTCGAACCCACAATCATAGGTTTCTGGCGTGCCCAAGGGACGCAACTCTGCACAGCGAATCGCGGCGCCTTAGACGACTGGGCCACCCGTGCCCCCAGGTTGATGAAGGGAAGCTTGAACAGGCTGTGTTGGTTGGAGTCAAGCTTTTAGTGGGACATAGTCACTATAACCATGGACACTTAATACTCTATATTTAGGGTCCATGCTATAACTCTCTTATCGCTGAGGGGCGGTCGGGTAGCCTAGTGGTTAAAGCGTTCGCTCGTCACGCCGAAGACCCGGGTTCGATTCCCGACATGGGTACAATGTGTGAAGCCCATTTCTGATGTCCCCCGCCGTGATATTGCTGGAATATTGCTAAAAGCGGCGTAAAACCAAACTCACTCACTCTTATCGCTGAGAGAATCACCAAAGATAGTCTTCTGGGGGGTTGCACCAACCCCAAACTTCCAAATAACAGAGGCCCGTCTGTGTGATTGCAATTGTCACGGGTTTTCATGCCATGTGCTTTCTAAAACATCAACACAGCTCCCCGATTTATGTATAAACTCGGTTGAGAAACACAGAAATAAAAATAGCAAAGATCGAGTTGCTTCCATTCCAAGTTTCAACAGTTCACTTTATAAGCGTCATTATACGACCGTGGTTTTCAAATCATTGTGAAACTCGACCCCGTTTCCACGAAGCGGCATGCAAATATTGATGGACGGCGGATATTTCAGGATATTCTTATTTCGGCGGGAGGGAAATTTGCAGGGGCAGGAAATATGTAATTTCGCCCGAATATATGGGGTATCACATATGGAATCTCATGGGAATTCAGAATATGCGACATTGATTTTGACCGAAAGATTACCGTATTTCCTCTATTAGACGCCGGGTCAATTGTTCGGTGCAAAAAATAGAAACCGGGCCTCTAATAGACGCCGGGTCGATCAATTCGATTCGGGACATTCGTGGTCATAGTGAAATGGGGGTATTAATAGAAGCCGGGCCCCGATTGGACGCCGGGTCAAAGGCTTGTCCGAAACAAATAGAAGCCCGGGCTTCTAATAGAGGAAATACGGTATTCAGATTTCTTGACCTCGTATGTGTTTAAGAAGTAGCGTCATAGCAAGGAAACAAGCTGATGATTACTTGTTAAAAAATGTAGCATCGTCAGATGACGTCATAAATATTCTAGCTTTATCACCTCAGCATGTACATAGTCTGGACCAGACAGACCAGTGGTTGTTAGCATGAGCACGATCTACGATCGGGTCACACACCGTCACTACTCATTTCATCTGAGCGGTTAAGGGGTAACCTCGTGGTTAAAGCGTTCGCTCGCCACGGCGATGATTCGGGTTCGATTCCCGATATGAGTACATTGTGTGAAGCCAATTTCTGGTGTCACGCGCTGTCATGTTGCTGGAATAGAGCTAAAGGTGGCGTAAAACTACATTCACTCACCCAAATCTCTCACTCACTCGCGAGGCGGGTGATCAGTCCAAGTCTAAGTTTTATCACGGCGTGTCAGCCCGAAGTGATGCAGGTCTCGGGCTTTTACCACTTTGGTGAAACCTTCGATCACGGGCATGGTTCAGTCACACCTAGAAACACAATCGGTGCGAACCGGGATTCGAAGCCTGTCACGGAATATTTTCTTCCTGGAAGGTGTTAGGGTTGATTGCTTTTCTCAATCGAGAAGCCCGAACAATAGGTAGGACGCCATGATGCATACCTAAGACAGGTTTACGACAGGTCAGACCCTGTCTTAATTTTTGTCTTAAACTTAAGATAGCTTAGCGCTAAGACAGCTTCGAGAATAGACTTAGCTAAGACGTTTTTCGCTACGACATATTTACGCCAATCTTAGCGCTAAGACAGCTTCGTGAATAGGACGCCTGGTGTGCCCAATGGACGTAACTCTGCACAGCGAATTGCGGCACCTTATAGACGAGTGGGCCACGCGTAGGCCCATCCCACTCCCCTCCCCTCACCTCACGTGATGAACCAACGCTTTGACACACAACTCCACCAAATAAATATTGTGTCTGCTAATATCGAGGTCAGGGGTCTAAAGCATGTAGTAATATAATAACGTAACGGATAAAATAATGGGCTTAATCAGGAATACGTAATCTAATGGGGGTAAATAGTGACTTTTAATGGATTTTGGAACAGCGACAAGAAAACCGATGGGATCTGTATGCCGTGCATGGTGATTAAGGATACCCGTTCTTGTTTTAAACTGTAAATTTGCCTTGGCGCGTTTATCTTCTCGCGAAATGAAAACGAGACACATTCCATTCTTGTTACGGATATCAAGCAGATTAATAATGTCGTGTCTTGAGTTCCCAGCGGCTGCAATTTCGTCCAAAACGGCTGACTTTTATTTTTCTTCAAAAGTTGGCAATGTGGATTCAACCATTTGTTTTGCTAATCACACTTTTTTTTTGTTAATCATTCTTGAGAGAGATCAATGGGGAAAACAAAATCGATAATTGCAAACCTTGTTAC